TTGCCAGGGCGGGAAGACAGGACCTGAGTCCAGAGTTGCAGTCACAACTTCAGTCCGCAGTTCTGTGCCAGCCGCGTGCCAGTGGGTGTGAAAGTAGAATGAAGACATTTTCCACCGAGCAGGGACAGCAGTTTTCCTGCAATGCACCTTTTTCTGGAAACTTCTAGAGGATCTGTTCCATAGAAGTGGGCTCCAGAAAGTGGGGACCCCCCAGAAGATGGGGAGGATGTCCCTGAAGAATGGTGGCAAAGGTCCCCGACAACTGCAGAAGTTGTTTTAATTTCATTGGATGAATCCATCCTTAGGTTTCCTGTTACCTCTGATTAAAGTTTCTGCCTCTCAGCCATGTCTTTAGCCTACTTGATTTCTGTCATACTGTCCGAGGTGGGGATCCAGGGCCACTCTTGCCCAGTGCACCATGGCCATGTGGGGAGGGTGTATTCACTGCACAGGGGTTCCATGTGGTACCTGCTTGCCTTTCCCAGCAGTGGCTGCCCCCTGAGGCAGCCGGGGGTGACCTGCTGTGACACTGAGCTCATTGCACTGTCCCTGCTGGGCCCCACTGCCTCTGGGGGAGGGAATGCCAGGCGTGCTGGGCCTGGATCCCTGCCATGTGCTGGCTGTCCACAGCGCACCATGGGACAGACCTTCCCTGGGAACAGGGCCGTGCCAGGGTCTATACCAAGGGGCCTCGTGGGCACATGGGGGCCTTTGACCATGAGCTGCTCCTTGTCACGCAGATGAGCTGGACAGCCCTGCGGGCCGCCTTCCCCGCCCTGAGCCCGGCACAGCTGCACCGACTGCTGACTCAGTACCAGCTGGCTTCTGCCATGGGCCCCACCAGTGCCTGGGAGCCAGGGGCCCGGGACAGCCCCGCTGCCTTCATGTCAGGTAAGCCCCTGCCTCAGGGGCAGGAGCTGGGGACTGAGGGCACACTGAGGAATCTATCCCCAGGCGGCAGCTTCGGTCCATCCATCTGTCCCCAACCTGGGGACCTCCCTTACTGGGGGTCCTGGAGCTGAGTTTGTGCCCAAGTTCTAAAGTCCAGGCTCAGATCAAATTTGGGTCTCCCTTCCCCTCAGGGAGCCTCGGGGTGGGGCCTCACCTGCTGCGTAGCCGACCAGGATGGGGGCAGCGTCTCCTCGAGGCGTGTGGGGAAACACTCTGTGCACACTTGTGTGCATACACACGCATGCGTCCATCTGTAGGGGCCTGTGTATATATGTGGAAATGCACATACAGCAACAGGTGTGCATTTTTATTCATAAATTACATGTCTTCAGCATCATGTATATTATGACACATAAACTAAGCCAGAAAATAAGGGATGGAAGAAGACATTGCTAACTAGGCTCTGATGCTGTCTCCTCATCCCTAGTCACGTGATGGCTGGGCCTGAATGAGACGTCTCCTCTGAACAGGACTCCTGGTCCCGCCCCCACCCCATTGATTGATTTCCAGGGCTCTGTGCTGGGAGCTAAGGACCCCGTGGTAACACGGCTCACATTCTAGCAGGCAGAGACCAGCCTGCACGCAGGCATGAGCATCCCGGGTGGCATGTGCAGGGATGGAGTCAGCACAGGCGAGGAGCTGGGGAGGAGCTTGAGTCCACTCAGCGGGACCGTGTGAGCTCCTTACCTGGGGTCACCCTGAGAGCTGAGTGTGGCAGGGACAGGCCCAGTGCAGAGTGGCTCAGCGCGACAGAGTTGCGCAATGCCACCAGAGAGTCCAGACTGCAAGGGTCCTATCCTTTGTCCCAGGATGCTTGGATGGCACACCAGTGGTCTAGGGGCATTCAGAAGGGATGAGAGTCAGGTTGGGCCCAGTCAACCTGGCCAGGATCCCACCCTCCTATGTCCTTGGTCAGGGAACCCAGAGCTTGGCCTGCTTGGCCTTTGTTCCCAGTGTTGGGTGGTGGTGGCCTGGCAAGCCTGGTGAGGGGAGGGCAGCTTCTCCAGTCACGGTGACCCCACCCCCACAGAGGATGTCCTGGAGTCCTATGAAAACCCCCCGCCAATCGTCTTGCCAAGCGAGGGCTTCCAGGTGGATTTGGAAGCAGACTGTCCGGACGACTGTGTCTACCAGCACCTGCTCTACATCCGCCACTTCCTGTGGAGCCTGCGGAGCAAAGCCAGCCCTGGCAGTGGGCCTGCCCAGCCAGAGGGCCCTGAGGTACCTGGGGGATGGGAGGGTCCCGGGCTGGGCTGCTCCCCGGAGAGCTTGCAGCAGCGCCCACAGGAGAGTCGAGGTGCAGGTAGGCACAGCTCGGCCTCCAGGTAGGGCTGGGGGCAGTCCGAGCTCTGGGAGCCCTGCAGTCCTCGAACGCCTCAGGCTGTGCCAGTGTGGGGAAGACCCCGTTCTCGCACCTCTTCAGATGGCACAAGCTGCAGGAGTCCTTTTCACCCTCGTGCCCCAGGCAGCCTGGTGACCTGCAGGCTGACCCCTCGGGCCACGTGGCCCTCCTTCACCTGAAATTCCTTCCTGCCCAGCTGCAGTTGTGGGCTTGAGCTCTTGCCCTCCCTCCCGCAGGGTGCGAACCACAGCGTCCCAGAGGCATTCCCGGACGCCCAGAACTGCCCCTCAGCTTCCAGGGACCTGAGCAAGGGAACTCGAGAAGCCGCCCTGTCACATACTCTTCCTTTGGCGGAGGCTCCCTGGGCACCGGGCCCCTCAGGAAGGCAGCCTGGCTGTGGGGGCCGAGGTGGCTCCCAGGCTGGCCCCCCGCACACGGACTCCTCATGCCTGCTCACCCCTCCTAGTACCCCGCTTGGCCTTGAGCCCGGGGACCCTGACTGGCCAGAGCCCAGCGGCACCTGTGCAAAAGCCCTCCCAGAGGGACAGAGGAACGGACTGAGCAGCCCCCGGGGTGAGGCTCCAGAAGGTGAGGCCCCCACGCTCAGGCCTGCACCCCGGGCCCCTGCCCTTGCCTGGGTCAGACGGCTCAGCCCCCGAGCAGACCCACAGCGGGGCCATGCCACAGCTCCGTTGTTTAGGGCTGACGGTGCATCTCAAGCAAATGGTCACTGTGACCTGGGACTGAGTCTAGTCACTGAGAAACACTCCTGCACAGGGTGAGGATGGGTGGCAGGGATGGTGTCCCCAAACCCACAGAGGGATCAGCCTAGGTCTTGTCAGTCGCCACACAAATAGCCAATCATTGAGACAACAAATATGGCCAAAGGAGAAAGGAATGTTAACGTGAGACGTCTGTCGGGAAACGTGGTCGTCAGTCTGTCTAGCGCAGGGCAGGGTAGGGCAGGCTGGTGGAGTTTGAAGACACGGGGTCTCCGGGTGGTCTGAGTCGAGTTGGCTGGTGGCGAGGGCTGTTGAGTGCTGTGGGAAGCTAGTCAAGTCTGGCTGTCAGGCTTGACTGGTAAAGTCTGAAGGAACAAACTTAGGGAGGGGGCATTCTGCGAGACTGATCACCAGGGCGTGATTTGGTGTGCAGAGACGTGCCAGGGGCAGTCAGGGAGGCCTTCTGGGAGGAGGTGGGATGGAGCCCTCTGGGGCAGGGCACGTAGGGGCCCTTGTGCCTGGGCCTAAAGGGCGAAGCAGCCCCTGGCCCAGCAGTGTCCCGCAGGGTTGGGGTCCCCGGGCAGAGCTGGGGCTGAGGTGGCTGCCTGCTAAGTATGTGGGACGAAGCTCAGAGGACTGTGAGGAGGTAGCTGCAGACCAGACCCCAGCCATGCACAAGAGCCCACCCCACACACTGCCTGGAGTGAAGGCACTGGCCTGGCTGGGCTCTGGGTGAGCGCCTGCTCAGTGATGGGGACCTCAGCTGGGATGGACGTGGGTCACCACCTGGGGCGTGGAGGGAGCAGGAGGAGGAAGGCAGCAGAGACTGCCCAGGAGGCAGAGTTGGAACCACAAAGGCCTGGAGTCGGGAAGCTGCTGGCAGGCCATGGGATGGAGACTGAGGCGCCCCTTCCAGGCACATGGGGTGTGGCCCACAGGCAGACCCCGGCCCTAATTGCTGGGCTTGCTGTTCACATTCTGCCTAAAGGGTGCCTTCCTGAGCTACAGGGGCCCTTTCTGTCACCTTTCCTGAGACAGTTGAGCAGGGACATCCCATCTTGACTTCTGGGGCAGGTGCCAGCCTCCAGCACTGTGGCACTCGTCCTCACCCACCTTCCCTTGTCCTCCCAGGAGACTCTGCGGCCCTCATGGATGAGTCTCCTCTGGCCCCCTCCAGCCGCAGCTCCAGCACTGAGGATTTCTGCTATGTCTTCATGGTGGAGCTAGAGCGAGGCCCCTCGGGGCTAGGGATGGGCCTGATTGATGGGATGGTGAGTGTCACAGAAGATGGCCTTGGGCAGGCCAGCTGGGACCCAGGGTTTGGCCTGTCCAGTGGCTGTATCCCCTGTGCTTGCTGTCCCTTGCCTCCATCCTAAGGCTTTCAGGGTTTGTCCTGGGCCTTTGGGAACAGTGGTGGTGTCATGGCCTGACTCTGGACATGGTGCCCACAGGCGCTGAGGGAGGAGGCGGTGGGGGTCCTTGCAGAGCCCTGAGGCCTCTGCTTCTCCGCAGCACACGCCCCTGGGCACCCCAGGGCTCTACATCCAGACCCTGCTTCCGGGCAGCCCCGCCGCGGCCGATGGACGGCTGTCCCTGGGAGACCGCATCCTGGAGGTCAACGGCAGCCGCCTGACGGGTGTCAGCTACCTGAGGTACCCCTACACCGCACACCCTGGCCTGTGCCACCCGGGGCAGGCCCAGCCCTTGCCAGGTTGTCAGCACACAGGCAGCACCCGAGGGAGGGTTCAGGTTTGCAAGACAGGCCGGGTGGAGGCGGGGGGCTCAGCAGGAACCCTGCCTAGGGTCCTTGGCACTGGTCTCACCTCCTTCCCGGCTTGCAGAGCTGTGGATCTGATCCGACACGGGGGTAAGAAGATGCGGTTCCTGGTTGCCAAGTCCGACGTGGAAACAGCCAAGAAGCTCCGCTTCCGCACACCCCTGCCCTAGGGTGATCCCATACCTGCCGCCTGGTTCTGCCAGGTGAGGCCAACATCATCAAGCCATTTGTTTGTGTTTGTTAATTGGCTGAGTTGAGTTCCCATGTGGTGGCATCACCTTTTCAGGACACGTCCTGTTGATAATGTACATCTTAGTGTATATTTTATTTATATGACAGGCAACACTAAGTTGCGACGTTTATTACAAAGCTTTTATGTTTAAAGACTAATGGAGATGTTTAGATTCAATAAACTCATGTTCTCAGAGTACAGTGCTGGAGATCATGCCAGCAGGTGGGCAGCTCCCAGGGACTAAGGTGGCCCCAGAGCCATGCCCTCCCCACCTGGAGGGGGCCATGGGGAGGATTATTTTAACTGTTCCTGCCCCCGGACAGAGGAGACCCAGGAAACAGACCAGGGTGCAGTTTGATCTTTTATGAACACAGTCCCAACACAAAGGGCTTAGAACCCGCCACACCTGCTGCGTCTGAGGACACCGGGCCCCCATCCAGGAGGACTGGTACTCCTCTCATCACTAAAGCTGGCCGTGTGGCCCTTAGTCTGTGGCTGGCATCCACCTGGTCACTGTCTCTTCACCCTGGCAGGAGGCTGGCCTCCTTCTCCACCAGCCGGCTGACCGTGCGCAGGGCCAGGGGCAGGGCCGTGTTGACGTCGCGGTGATAACGGGGGCTGCCCACCTCCGCGCTCGGTGTGAGCACGAACTGGGCCACGCTGGGCATCTTCAGGAGGTTCAGCAGTTCAGTGGCCCGGGTGTGGATGGCTTCCGCGCCCTCCTCACCGTGCGGGGAGCTGGCAGCAGGGCTCTGGGCCAGTGTCCTCATCTTTGACAGCAACAGAGAGACCCTGGGGACAAAGAGGTCCCAGCCATTCAGCTGTAGACAAACACCACCCCCCTCAGTGGAAAGGGGGCTGGGGGGAGGGGGTCAGCCCAGCTGGCATGGTCCACCCAGGACCTCAGAAACCCCATCTTTTCCCACACACAGCAGGCAGGTCTCTCCCCTCACTTCCTGACCAGGCACCTGGGGATTAGGTCTTGGCTCCGGGAGGCCAGCTTGGTCAGTGTGGTCATAAGCACGGTGACAACCTGTGGTGGACACTTGGGCAGGGTAGCAGAGGGGCGGGACTGGGTGACCTCGAACAGCAGGGCCTCCAAGGCTTCAAAGAACTTGTTGATCTGCTCCACGGTGCACCTCCGGTCATACGTCACTGACAGGTATTCGCCAACAGCCCACACCTAGGCCCAGGGACAGAGGCTCAGCCCCTACCCAGGCCCTCCTCTGTCAGGGAGTGGGAGAGGCTAGTGTCTGCCTTACCACGCTGGTGACCATGCTCGCTCTGCTGTGGACACCGCTCACGCTGCCCAGGAACTCCAGGAGGTGTCTCGCCAGCTCCACCACCAGGGAGGGCTTCAGCTTGCACAGGGCCAGGAACTGGGAGCTCAGCACCCTGCCCAGAGCACCGTGCTGCTGCTGGGCTCTGTGCAGCACCCCCATGCCAGGAGCCCAAGGCGAACAGGGAAGCAGCCGGGTGAAGGCTGCACCTTCACCCCCATCCCCAGAGGAATTTTCACCTCACTGGGGGCAGGCTGAGGCCTGCACACACCCAGGGGCAGAGGGTCTGCAAGAGGGACCTGAGCCAGTCTGGAGCAGGGGAGTGCTCCTGAAGGGACAGAGAGGAAGTGTCCAGGAGCAGCAGCGGACCTGAGGTTGCTGAGGGTCCAGCCTGGAGGGTGGGGCTGCAGCCACCAAAGGGAGAGTTGAAAAACCCAAGATGTGACCCGCTGACAGTTGTAGCGATGCCTGCCCAGGGGCTACCATGGGGGCGGAGGGGCCCACCTGTGCACGCGGGCCTCGAACTGTGGGACTCGGTAAAGCGAGTCGCTCCTCTCCAGGAGCACGAGCACCAGCTGGTCGGTCAGGGCCCCACTGGCGACCTGGGGGTCAAGAGTGCCAGTCAGCCCCACCTGCACAGCATGCTGTCTCCTGCTGCCCTCCGGGGCTGCAGAGCTGCCGGAAACTCCTCATCCCCACCGGACCTGGAACCCTCCCCCTGCCCCCAAATACTAGGGTGCTCGAAGAGGTTGGGCCAAGGAGGCCGCTTGGGGAAGACTCACAGGCCACCTCAGGGCTCTGCCTGTGGCTGAGCATCAGTTTGTAGAGCTCCCCAGGTGGGGCTCAGGTGGGACCCACTGGCCTACAGGAACCTTTATTTTGGCCTCGGAGACAGACACATGCCAACCTCAGAGGTGGTAGGGATAAACTGCTTTGGCCCCAGCTGTGCCACCGGCCCATCTGGGGATAGGAGACAGGCCTGGCCCCTTCCCTGTGAGCTGCCTGACCCTCAGAGCAGCTGTGGACAGGGGCTGTAGCAGGATGGGCCATCCGCAGAGATGGAGGGCGACAACGTGGTCCTTGCCCTGAGCTAGCCCCTCTGTCCCGGGTTGTGTGAGGCCCATGGGAACCGGGTCCCGGGCAGCAGGCTCACCTGGGTCACTGCTGCGAAGTACGCATGGAGCAGGGTGGGCACGGCCTCAGAGCACTGGGCTACCCGGGCACAGCTGGCCATGGGCTGCAGCAACTGGTAGAGTGGTGCCAACCTGGGGACATAGAGCGCGGCCCACTGGGCACCTGCCCACTTCCCGCCACCACAGTCACACTCCGAACCCATGAACCTGTGTGACCTCACAGGCTGGTGCCTGCAGATGTCAGGGCTGGTCATAGGTGGCCTCCTCGTCACTGTCCCCCTCATGTCGCTAAGCTTGTACCCACCAACTCCTCACTCCCTCACTCCTCAGGACCACCTACCACCATGGGGCTCAGGGAGACCCCAAGACGCCAGCACACCCGGGACAGTGGCACAGTCAGGGCTCACTGAGCTGCTGGCGGTTCCCAGCCCAAGGCCCCTACCTCTCTGTGGTGCCGCTGGCCTTGGGGCGCAGCAGGTGCTGGAAGAGACCCTGGAACTGTGGGTCCCGGAAGGCCTCCAGGCAGCTGGGGCTCCTGAGGGAGGTGTCCCAGAGCGGCCTCTCGGATAGAGCTGGCAAGGACCTGTTAGTGCAGACACCTGAGGCCAGGTGGGATGCGGGCTCCTGGCACCAGCCACCCAAGATCTGATTCGGCCCCCACCCACTCAAGGGCACCCATTTTGTCAGGGAGAGACATGAGCCAGTGTCACTGTAACATACAGCATCCTGACCCAGCTGTGCCCTGGGGTGATGGAGAGGGGAACAGGGCAGGGGCCCACGGGTGGCTCTGCCACTGATTGTAGGGACAGGCTGCAGGGCTCAGGGGCTGCCCTCAGCGGGTGGTGAAGGACAGGACCCACCCTGCCTTGGAGGTGGCTTTGCAGGACACAGTCGCCAGTGCAGGGGTCAGGAGCACTGAGGGAAGGGCCAGGGAGAATGGCTAGTTGGATGGCACAGGTGGGGCTGGCAGAGGGAACAAGCAGGGACCCACCTGAGCTGCAGGTCCAGGGCCGCGGTCAGGCAGGGCAGGTCGAGCAGCGCGTGCAGTATCTCCACGGCTGTGCTGGCATCCACCAGAACCGGGAGGAGCGCCACGAACTCGGCGGTGAGTGCTGGGCTGTTCCAGGCCAGGAACTGCAGGACAAGCACAGGGCTCAGAGGGGGCGGGCACCACGGGGTGGCCTGTGCAGCCAGGACCTACTGCTGCCACAAGTTTGCCATCTGCAGGAGGGCTCGGGGCCTGCCCCTCCTCCACCTTCTCCCATTTCACTGTGGTCGAGGAGTCTGAAAGTCCTCTTTAGTTCTTTCACACTTACTTTTTGCTTTTGCATCCACTTTATACGATTAAATCAATTATTTCCCACCTGTTACTGTTTTTCTCTGGGAGAAGGATTAAGTTCCCAACTGGCTTTACAAGGCCACACAGGAAGGTGCTGGTTGCAAAAGATGCACCTAAACCCAACGGCACCAAAGGGCCGCCCACGCCAGTCAGGGCCCAGTGAGGAATCCTAGACCATACACAAGTTTGTGAGAACTAACTCAAGTCCCAGCTAACTACCCCATCCCCAAAGAAGCCACGAGCAGCTTTCTCTGATGGTGACACTGTTGACATGTGACAGTGTATAGACACCCCAGGCACTCCCACACCTCGCCCTGCACCCGCATTCCAGGCCTGGGACCCACCAGCTCCACACCCACGGCCAGGCCTGCCTGGAGGCGCCACCAGCGCAGGAGCAGGCCTGGCCCCACACCCAGGGACGCCCACACGTGCCTTAAAGAGGTTGGGGAAGCTCAGCGTAAGGATGCTGAGGTTCCTGCCGAACAGGTGGAGGTTGTCCCTGCAGAACTGGATGAACTCGAAGGCCAGCATGGGGCTGTGGAAGAGCTCAGCTGGGACCCTGGTGAACAGGTGCTGGTACACGGCTTCTGAGTCCACTGCAGCCGCCTCCCCTGCAGGAGCCACAGGCCGTCAGCGTGCACAGCCCCGACATGAGCACCTTAAAACTTGTCCTGGAAACACCTCTCTGCTGCTTAGGACCCCTCAGAGTCTTGGGCCCAGTCTCCAGGATACCAAAGGCTCCGAGACGCCCTACGAGGGGACACTGGTTAAGCCACACACCCCACGTCTCCCAGGGGCCACAGGCAGCTCCTCAGAGTAACACAAGCTACAGAACATTGGAAGGTGCGAGTTCCTTGACTTTTGGGTTTCACAGGCCAGTGTCATGGCAAAGAGCGTTTTGAGACTGATGTAAAATTGATGTTTCATTTCGTCCTTTAAAAATGTGAAGATCATCCCTGCCCCCTAGCGCCAGTAGTCATAAAACAATCGACATCTGAAACAAATGTGAGGAAAGAGCCCTGGGGGTAGAAGCCACCCTCCAAAGAGGACACAGCCGGCCGCCCTGCAGGGGGCGCTCACCGTGCGTCAGGAAGAACCGGGCCAGAGGCAGCAGCACCCGCACACAGGCCGGGTCCCCGCTCAGCCGCCCGTGCAGGGCCTTCAGGCAGGACAGGGTTCGGTAGAGGAAGGACAGGTCCTGCCGGCACAGCACATCCAGGACCAGCACGGCTTCCACCAAGCACTGCGGGGACATGAGGCCATGTGGGAAGGGTCTAGCGCTGCCACCCCCTGCGCCCTGAGACCCCGCAGCCACCTACAGCTTTCTGCAGGTCAGAGTCCCCTTTCCTCAGGGCTCCTGGGAGGGCGGGAGAAAGTCAACTTGGCTCTGCCGCAGCCTCGGAACAGCATTCTGGAAGCTCCGGTGAGGACTGGGAGAGGAGGGCCCGGACAGGCAGGGACAGAGCTGGCTGGGGGAGACTCGAGGTGGGGGCTGAGGCCAATGGGGCATAGGCTCTGTCTGCTGCGGAGCTCCCCAGGCTGACCCTAGAAACAGAAAAGCCTCCTGCCCCAAACTCACTACCCAGAGACACTAACCCCACCCCCCACCCCCACCCCCACCCCAGCCCCAGTGGCAGCTCAGTGAAGATCTGCCGCCCCCGACTTCACCTCCCCAGGAGGACAGCACCCCGGGGTGGGGCTGGAATTGGTGGGACTTACGCCGGGTGCTTTGCTCTATGAGGCGCTGGCAGTACTCAAAGGCCACCTCCCTCAGCCGCTCCCGGGGGGGCAGCAGGCGGCCAGCGGTGGAGGTGGCAGAGATCACCGACAGGGTGGAGCCCTCCAGCTCCGACTTGTCGTCTGTGGAAGGAGAGGATGCTCAGGGGGAGAGTGTGGCTCCCCGAGCAGGGACACATTTGCTGCTCCTACTGGAAACACAGCAGATGAGGACACACTCTGGCTGGCCTCCCGACAGAGGGAGTCACCGCCTTGGGGTGCCCGGGCTGCCTCTAGCTCTCCGGACGCCCTTCGGTGTGGTTTAGGTTTCTTCCCCTGGCAAGTGGCTAGCAGAGAGGAGTTCAGCAAAGTCGTCCCAACAATCTCATTGCTCTGGCTTCTTCCTGCACATCCCTCAAGGGTGTCTGAGGGCCTCCTGGGGCTGGCCAGGGGCACCCACAATGCCCGGTGGTGTGCTCAGCTCCACCCCGAGTCTGCAGGCCTTTGCTGCCGGCCTCCTGCCCGCTGGCATCTGGGGCACACCTGCGTCCCACCCGCCTCCTGCCTGCATCCCCCACTCGCCCGCCCCACAGCATACCTGCCTCTTGCCCTCATCCCACCTGTGTCCTGCCCGCCTCCTGCATGTGGCACACCTGAGTCTGGGGCACCTGGGCCCTCGGGGCCGCTGTGCAGTAGCCAGGCCCGCAGCATGGAGAAGGCCTGCACGTTCAGCCACTGGTCCTCCGTGAAGTGGTGGCCCATGGACAGCACCGTGAAGAAGTCTGTGGCCACTGCCCCATCCACCTCGGTGATGGGGCCCGGCTGCAGGGGAAGGACAGGCGGGGCTGCAGAGTCCCCTGGGCTGGGCGGGCCAAGGGGACTGGGCTGGGGAGAAAGCTCTCTAGCTACCCAGGAGGGCAGAGGAGAAAACTCACGAGAGCCTGAGTTAAGAGCACAGCCCGGGGACGTGAGTGTGAGATCTGCGAGGCCCGCCCCGCCCTGATGCCCCTCTGCACCTGGCAGCCGCCTGCCCTCTGTGGGTGCAGAAACGCTGCAGCGACCCCAGGCCTCCCACACCCTCCTCTGCAGGTCTAGTGTCAACCACACACAGAGCCAGAGCCACACGGGCTGGGGGCTGTGACCCTGCCGGCCCAGGCCCCCGAGCACAGGCAGGGCTGGCCATGGTGGGCACAGACCTAGGGGGAGGGAGGGAGGGAGAGAGGTAGGTTTGGGATCCTGACTCCCCTGAGGTCTGAGAGCAGCTCTGGCCTCACCTGCCGGGCTCTGGCCGTGGAGAAGAAGCCACCGGAGTGCGGGAGCCCTTGCTGGACGCTGGCGTAGCGGAGCCAGTCAATGAGCCTCTTGCTGAGCAGGGTGGTCTGGTCTGCAGAGGGGGCAGGGATCACGTGGAGGGAAACACCTAACCTGCAGACGCCCCAGCCCCACCTGATGCCTGTAGAGCTTCCCCAGAAAGCAGGCAGCTGCTCCCACAGGGCCTCTCGCCCTCTTCCGTGTGGAGCACCCAGGCTTGTGCCTGCCTGGCCCACGTACCCTCCTGGAGGGCGCCTGGGCTAAGGCCCACGACCTTCGACATGACGGGGAGGAGGTGCCTGAGACTGGGCCCCTCGGGCTGCCGGCTCTCCAGGGCTCTCAGGATGTGCTGGGCCACCATGCTGACCTCCTCTCTTCTGTCACCCTGCAGAGCAAACACAGGCCAGTGCTGAGAGCTGACCTGCCCCAGTGGCCCTCCAGACCACCTCTCCCATTTTGGGAGTCTGCAGCGGTCCCTGTGGCCACCAGGTGGCCAACTTGTCAGAGACTCTCAGCCTGGATCTGCCCAAGCCCCTCCCGGGAGGCAGGGGTGGAGGGATGGCCACCCTGCCCGGGTGCAGTCAACTGGGTCCAGGCCAGGGGACCACAGAACCCGACTGGTCTCCTGCACAGACACACTGCCAGGGAGGAAAGATGAGTCCTTATCTTTAAGAGAAATGCTGCAAAGTAGGTAGAAATGTTATGATGTCTGGGATTTGTCATTGGTTGATGACAGGGCAGTGGAGACGGATGTGCTGTTCCTTCTACATGCGCACCCAGGGCCTTCAGCCACTAGATGGCAAGGCTGCCCCCAGGCCTTCTAGGAAGTACCCGAGAGTGGGACAGGAATGGTATGGCCGGCACTTCAGAACAGGCAAGGGACCACCTTCCTCTCTGGCTTCCTCGGCCAGGCTGTCTCCTATAAAACTAAAACCCACTTCCTCTGCTGAGCTCCTCGTGCAGCAAATCATTTGGTCTAAGAACATCTGGAACAGGGACTGTGGGGTACTGAAGGCTGCTGCTCTATTAGCCTAGGTGATGCCACCGCTGCATGTCCAGGAATGTCACCAGAGCAGCCCAGACCCTGTGGCCTGACTGGGTCAAGAGTCCTGGGATGGCTACTCCCTAGGACCTGGGAAAGACAGGAAGGGCGTGTGGGAGCAGGCAGGTGTCTGCTTGTTCTAGGTAATTCCGAGTGCCAGGTGTTCTGGCACGCCTGAGACAGTGATAAAACTGTCTAAGCCGAGCAGGCCATGCAGTGTAGGACACACATACTGGTGGGACACAGGCCAGCTGGGGTGCTCCCGAGGCCCAGGGCCAACTGGAGCAGTGACGATCGAGTTACCTGGGCCAAAAGCACGGAAGCCACCAGGCTCAGCTGCCGGGTGTTCTGGGTGTGGTTACAGGACAGAGTCAGGCTGTCAGAGGGTGACATCTCTCTCAGGATGGCAGCACAGAGAACCTGGAGTGGCTCGGGGCATGCAGGCAAGCAGAGGGTGGCCTGTAGCAAGTCCACGCATGTCTTGTCCAGCCTGGAAGGTGAGACCCCAGTGGTGGTGACATGTCATGCCCAAGGCAAGAGCACCCAGCACCCCAGAGAAGCTGGCCCGGCTCCCTCTGGCCTGGACAGAGCGTTTTATATGTGAGGACCTTCAGCACTGGTTTAAATGCACACAGGACTCACACCCCAGGGAGCGTCTGTGCCAAATGCTGGGCATGGACAAGGTTCTCCTAAGGCCACCATGTTAAGAGCTGGGCCCACGTGGTGACCACACTCACCTGCGGTTATACTTGGTGGCCGAGACAATGAGGAAAAGCCTCCGCAGACAGTCGACCGCATCGGGCCCCAAGTCTTCCTCGCGCAGCAGCTTGCAGATGCGGGAACAGAACTTCCCCAGCTCCTCGGCCTGGATCTCCCTAAACAGAGAAGAGGACGTCAGAACCCACGTGCTGCTCTCAACCACAACAGAATGTCCCTTGGGCTGGGGTGGAAATCCCACTGTAGCAAAGAGAAAGCCGGGTGTGTGGGGACACTGTGATCCCACCACCCACAACACCTCTCGAGGTCAACTCGCAGATGACCCAGACAGGCAACCTGCCACTGCCATAACGCACTCCGGCAAACCGCACTGAAGGAAACACTGTGCATTCATGTTACTTATTCCAAGGGCAGAAGAACTAAAACTGATTGTTTTTAGGAACCTCATTCAAAAGTGGGAAATTTAGTCTAAGGTTGCTTTTGAAAACATGTCTGTCTTCAATGAGTCTTTCACTTCTGGGAACAACAGTTAAATCTTATATATTAAAGAGCAAATATTTGGACACATCATAAGATAACTTCTTACTCTAATACTTCATTGACTTAATTTAAAAATCTCTCTATTTAGCTCTTGGGAGGCCGAGGCGGGTGGGTTGCTCAAGGTCAGGAGTTCAAAACCAGCCTGAGCAAGAGCGAGACCCCGTCTCTACTAATTAATTGGCCAACTGATATATATATAAAAAATTAGCTGGGCATGGTGGCGCATGCCTGTAGTCCCAGCTACTTAGGAGGCTGAGGCAGGAGGATGGCTTGAGCCCAGGAGTTTGAGGTTGCTGTGAGCTAGGCTGACGCCACAGCACTCACTCTAGCCTGGGCAACAAAGTGAGACTCTGTCTCAAAAAAAAAAAAAAAAAAAATCTCTCTATTGGGCATTGGCCACAGATAAGATATTGAACAAAGTCTTAAAATTGAAACCTGTTTTTAGGTTTTTATTCCATTCTAAAAGGCAAGAAAAGGTAAACTGTGAAGGAGCTGCTGAGCTGGGGGCTCTCTGAGAAGGCCCCCATGAGGCTGCCACTCCGGGAGCTGTGGCTGAAGCCCCCACCTGGCACACTAAGCCCATCTGTTCATCAGCCGCAGCAGCCGGAAATCTGGATGGTGAGAGCGAGACAGGGAGTCCCAGCATCTGAGATGAGGTTTGATGAACGTCTAGAGCTGAGGTTCTGGGCAGCACCCCCATTTCCTGCTCTTCCTTGAGCTGTCAGATAAATGCCAAGGAACTGCTCACTACCCCTGCCCCTTGTTTCCATTTGCTTACTTAAGCTGACCAGAATCATGTTCTGTCATCTACAGAGAACAGAGCAGGCACATGAGGGTAGGAAAAGAGAGAGGGACACAGAGGACTGGTCTAGCACTAAGGTAATGATGTTGAAACCACAATCACCAAACGAGACTGAGAACGAAGTTACCTGATCATCTTGCAATCATAATGGGAATCTTTCCAGAATCTCTCCTCATCCCAACTGACTCCCTACAGCAGACCCTCCCAACTGCAGGCTTCTTTCTAAAAGGCCAAACTCTTTGATAGCTCCCCACTGCTTTCAAATCCAAACTCCTACAGACCCTAACGTTGCTTACCTGGCCCTGGCTGCTCCTTCCTTCTCCAGCCATCAAGTCCTTTCTCTTGCTTCTGCCCCTTTGCACAGACCCCTACCCGAAACACTCCCCACTCCTTCCCAGAGCTTCAAAGCAGTTTCCTCTTCACCCTGAACCCCTCCCGACCTCGCTGTGCTCTCCCTCCACGTCCTCGACCTGTGTCTACGTCCCACTTTTGCCATCTGCCCTTCAGCTTACAGAGATGTTTTTGATAACTTTTTCCATCCTCACCTCCCATATCTCTGATATATTTAGAGAAACTAAAGTTCACTCTAAGTCCAAGCTCTCAAACTGTAGCTATTTATTTTATTTTGTTTTATTAGAGACAGGGTCTTGTTCTGTTGCCCAGGGTGGAGTGCAGGGGTACGATCACTCCTGGCCTCAAGTGATCCTCCTGTCTTGGACTCTCAAAGTACTAGGATTGTAGGTGTTGAACCACCACACTCAGCCCATAGCTGTTTATTTTAAAATGCTACCAGAAATCACTTGCTTAAATAAAATATATTGTGAAAACTAGTAAGCCCCAACTAATAGGTTATTAACTTTCTAGAAACCCAAACAGAGAGGACCTACATAACACACATTTTACATAGGCAAACTCAAACATGCCCACCCACCCAAGAGAGACAGAAAAGCAGAAATTTAAGTATCGAGGGCTATTTCTTTTGCCTTTCATTACACAAGCTTGAATAAAATGTGAGTGGGGAATGAAGTTGCAGTGGGTTTGTTACTTGTCTCTTGGCAAGCACTTTGGGGTAAGCATGCTGCACATTGAGTGAATGCCAGTATTTTCATATTATACAGTCCCTAAATTCAAATAAACCATACACCTGTCTGCTATTGAAGGGCTTACTGGGAGATGGTGCTGCACACCCACGAAGCACTTTACTACGAGATTTTCAAAGGTTATCATTACTTTCTTTTTGTAGAGACAGGGTCTTGATATGTTGCCAGGCTGGTCTCGAACTCCTGGGCTTAAGCAATCCTTTTAGCCTCAGCTTCCCAAAGTGCTGGGATTACAGGTGTGAGCCACCGTGCCCAGCCTCAACAGTTATTTTCATCAGAGATTTTTGTCCTGTCCACAAACTTTAGAACTTAATCTGCATTCAAGATCTTGCTCATTATACTTAACAGCAATTCAAGCATCCTAGTCTTTCCCACCAATTGGTCCAGCTCTGAATCCAGACTGGTTGATTTGTTTTTAAGTTTACCAAGGACGTGTGGTTCTGGCTGCATTTTCTTCTTTAAAACAAACAGTTTTAAAGACTGTGGGGCCTACACTCTGCTTTCTCCCATGACTGTTCAGTTACCGGGAGGCCGGGAACAGTCCAGGAACAGAAAGCGGTGGGTAATGTCTCAGCCTAGTCAATGCATCCGCACGAGAGCGATCTTTACAAATGACAAAAGTCTCCCAGAGCTCCCCCAAGCCCTAGGGATGGTAACCAGCTCCGTGACTTGGCACACGGTTTAAGTGCCAACAAGTTCTCCAGCCTTTGTGATTCTTAAAGCAAATAACAGCTCCTGACTACCCTACTTCCCGCCTGGGGTTGTTACCAGGCCTTTGGCCAGACTGTCAGCTGGGTCCCACCCCACTTCCTTCCATTCATCGTCCAAAGCCCTGCGCAGGCATCACGCCCTCCGGTACCCAGCTGGGCGCTCCCCCGACCTCCACACCCCAAGCCTGGCCGGCGTCCTGCCGTCTCGAGGCGGGTCCAGTCGGGCTCCCGCAAGTCGCCGGCGCCCGGGTCCAGCCCTGAGACCCACCCCTGCGCCCTTAGGGAGTCGTGCGGAAGGGAGGCCGAGCCGCAGCGTCCCCACACCTGGCCTGCTGGAGCAGACTTTCCGCGCCCACGGTGAACATCCCGCAGCCGCCGCCGCCGCCGCGCGACTTCCGGGAAGCATCACGTGTTGCGTCACGTGGGCAGAACGGGCAGGCCGCCGGCCAATGGACTTCGGCGCGAAGCGTCTGGGGCGGGGCCTTGAGCACGGAGGCGTGGGTCCGGGTGCGCTGTTGGAAGTTCTCTGGGGTGGCTGATCGTGGGTCCCGGAACGTCGGCATCCGGAACCTCAGGACCCCGGAACCTGGAGGCCCCGAACCTCGGTACCCCGGAGCTCCCTGACCCGGAACAGCTCTCGATAGAAACTGGGCGCCCGGGTCCTCCGAGGGCGTCCCTGGCCCCGCAGTGCCGCTGCCCGGGTTCTAGTTTCTGTTTCCGGAGCGCAGCGCAGCCCCTCGGCCCAGGACGGCCTGAAGGCGTTACACAGATCGCGCGGCTGGTGGGCGAGGCAGTTTGTGAGGGACAGCTGCGCTCTCAGCGGTTTCTGCTTTTTAAGCTCCCATTACCTTAGCACCCACCAGACCCGCCCGTACTGCTTTAGAAAAATCCCTTATTCAGTCCCCAACATAGTCATGGGATGTCGCTATTTTATAGTGAGGCAGCAGGCGCGGAGGGACGTCAGTTTCTATTATTCTGAAAGATGTGTTGGGGGCCGGGATGTGTTCGGCCCTGGCGACGAGTATTTCCACCCCGCAGGCCGCATGGGGACACAGGGCTACACCTACCCCGCAGTCACAATCCAGCGTGAGAAACGCTGTTACAGCCTGAACTGGGCGGGGATCCTACAGAGGAGGAAGGTTTCCTGAGGAACTGCAGCCTCAGAGGGGCCCAGAGGGTGTGCAGACCCAGGGCCAAGGCAGAAGGTGGGGAGGGCAGTACTGCAACCTGCTGACGGTGGCTGAAGTGGTGGAGGGGCAGCCTGCCATCAGGCGGCAGGATAGAGAATGGCTTGGGGAGGGACGGGGAGAGGAGGTTGGTGCAGTTGTACCAGGGAGGAGGAGGGAGCCTGGGTAGTAGCAGTTTCAGTAACCATTCAGGAGTAGGATTTGCAAGATTTGTGATTGACAGATTTGGGGGCAGGAGGAGAAACAGGGAAAACTCAAGGTCAAGGGCATGTTTCTGGCTTGGGTACAAGGCAGTGTTATCCATGTGGTATTGGGGCAGAAAAGGCCCAGAAAGTTTGTGGCAAGAATGATTCATTCAGTGAACAGTGATTGGGCCCTGTTTTAGTTTCTGGGGAAGAGAGTAGTAAATGGGAATGAATGTTCTTTGGGTAGGGTGGGCCAAGGTCAGGCCTTGCAGGGATAAGCATTGAGAAGACAACTGGGTAGAGGAAGGAGGGGAGAGAGGGAGGACCAGGCAATTAGCTGCAAGAGTTTGGACATGGCTTTGAGATGCCATATAGCTCCCTACAGACGCTTGAGGGCTTGAGGGTGACTGGTGCTGAGGAAAGAAGGGGCGCTGATGGTGGGTGTAGCTGAGCGTGCTACTGCCTGGGGAGCATGTTGAGTGCAGTGGTGCAAAGGGAGACTGGCCGTTGGAATCTATGGAAAGCTCAGTGTGTGCTAATGTTTAATGTAAAACGTGTACATGGTGAAGTGCACAGATCTTAAATGAAGTCAATGTTTTTTACATCTGTAAATCAGTGGTAAATTGGCAAAGGTCTTCTTAGCTCTGTTTAGGCTCTATGGTGGGGAGTGATTTGTTTTTGATAATTTCCGTGTAAGTACTGCTGTCTTGGCTGGTTTCAACACACAGACCATTCCCAACTCCCTAGAGGCTCAAGGTGCCCCTTCTCAGTCAGTGGCCCCACTGCACCCAGAAGTAACGCTACCCTCACTCCCATTACCAGAGATTAGTGTCGCCTTTTTTTAACTTCATGCAGATGGAATCATGTAGTATTTAGCTTTCCTTGTTCTTCCGTGAATATCTGGTTTGCTTCCAGAGTTTGGCAATAATGAATGGAGCTGCAATGCACAATCTTTGGGTGGGGGATATGCACTCACTTCTCTTTGGTACATACCCAGGTTCGTTGGGGGCTAACTTTCACTGAGAACCTAAACTGTGTGCCAGGAATCAATCTCAATCTCAATCTCCCCACCCCACACATACCCCCCTAAGCAGTTTTGCCAAGGGTAATAGTTGATCTTGTTTCTTAACAAAATTTGCATTTGTATAAAATGTTATTTTAAGGTCCCACTAATGAAAAATGGTCCTAATCAAAAACGAAATTAAAAAGACTAAAACTTAAAAAGAGATGCAAATTAGCCAATGCAGCCACCTGGAGGAAACTTAATTATTCTTACTCATGCTTGGTATTTGGCTAAAATCCTGAAATATGTCATATCTGTTAATGCTGTGTTAATGCTTCAGTTAGAATCTTACAGCGGGAAAGGGGTCCCCAGAAGGAGGGCAGAGAAGCCGTCAAGCTTCAGCTTTAACCATGGACAACTGCGAAATCTGAAAAATGCAAATTATCTATTTAGCTGAATGAATTATACAAACACTGCACAACCTTGAAGGGATATACACGTGACGAACACATTCTTATAAAATCCCCAGCCAGAAGTAGTTTGCAGCAGAAACACCCAAGTGTCTTTGTTTTTTTAAGATCACTGACCATGTGGCAAACCCAAGTGTCTTGTTGTAAACCTGGGGGGCCCTGAGGAGAGGAGGTGGCAGCTGCCTTTGCTGCAGCCGATGTGCACAGAGCACCCTGCCAGCTCCATCCACCTCGCTCAGTCCACATGAACAAGTGGAGCGTGTGGCAGGCTGAAGTCCCAGGGCTGGTGAGGAGCAGAGGGAATCTGAACCGGGTCTGTCTGCTGAGTTCAATGCCACGTCCACTGCTGCTTCCCACCCCCCCAACCCCCGACACCTAAATTAGGCAAAGCATCAAAGAAAACATGCACGAAATGGGTAGAAATTGTCATTTAGTTAAGTGCCAGCAGGAAGGACCCACATGGGCGCTGTGGGTACCTGCAGGCAGCACCCTCCCCAAGCCAAGCTGTGGGCATGTGCCAGGGTGGGGTGGCTCAGTGGTTCCTCCCTTGCCAGGTCCAAGGGGCAGACACGAGTTATCTTTGCATCCAGCAGATGCAACATCCACGCTCAGAGGACTCCTGGGGGCGGATCTCTCAGGCCAGGAGCGACAACACCTACATCATGTCTCCTGTGCCCACTGGCTCCTCCCCAGGAACAGGACACGCAGGACACATGGGAGGACACACCTCCCCTTCAGTATCCTGAGTGCCTTGGGGCTCAGGCGCCCTCGCTGCAGGGCACAGAGGTGGCTGCCTGTGCAGACTGTCCGCCTGTCTGTCCACTATCCCTCAGCAGCAACCCCTTCACAAGCACCACGCAGAGCCTTGGTGTCATCTCTTTAATATATAATTTTATTTCTGGTTATAGAAACAAATGCTAAGAGGAGAAACAAAACTTCCCCATCCACATACAACAATTTAATAGATAAAAGGACAGTTAAAATAAATGAAAAACCAAAAGTAGAAATTTTAAACTTTGTTATAGCTTTAAAACATTAACGTCTGATACAATTAGAAATCACATTCAGATCTCAAACTTTAAAAAAAAAAATATGGCTCCGTATTAAAAAAATACTGTATCCCATTTGAAATGAAAACACAGGCCACCTGCCGTGGATGTGGGGCTGTCTGTCCCCCGGCAGTGGCGCTCGCGCCTCCCCGGCGCTGCTGTTTATTCCCTCCTCCGAGGTGGGACACGGCACCGGACATGACCCAAACCTCACATCCCACACTCCAGAACCGAAATTTCCACTTTATAGGATACCGCTGCTTTTTAAAGCACTGATTATTAAACATATCGTGAAAAATACTTTAGACAGCCACTGTAAAAAAAAAAGAAAATACACGCACTCACACACACATACGCACAGACCCCAAACAACACCCGCCCCTCCCGAATTATTTTTACAGGAGAATTATCATTCAGATTAAAAAAAAAAAATCTCAGTATTGGCTTCAACCCCTCCCTCAAGTGTGCGAGCTGCCAGCCCAGGGCGGCCGGGATGCTGGAGCCTCAGGGTCTGGATGCAGGGACATCTGAGGACAGGACCAGACACGGCTTTGTTTCTTCCTCCCCCCACCCGTCCTGAAACCGAAGCCAAGCCCTGTCGATGCGGCTATGCCCGCCCGAAAGCCTTTCTCCAAGGGAAGGGAGAGAAGGCTTTGATTTTAAGTCCCCATTTTTACCAATAAAAGAAGAGGAAAAAAACCTGGACCAGTTAACCCAGAATTTAGAGGCCACAGGCACAGTTCATTGACTTATCTATTCTGAGACCGAGTCTCACTCTGTCGCCCAGGCTGTAGCGCAGTGCTCCTCGAGCAGTCCTCCCCATGCCTGGGGCCACAGGCGCCAGCGCACAGTTTAACATCCACACGGGCTGGTGAACTTCACACAGGAAAAAAAATAGAATCCAGAGTCACAGATACCGGTTCAGCTCAGCCCACACATAGGGAAATACAGGGGGGCACAGTTCTAGCCGCTGCTCGAGAGTCGGGACAAGAACTGGAAGGACGGTCCCTTCGGGAAGAAGAGCCCTGGAGGGCACAGAGGTGTCTCTGTATATGACATAGCGAGTATCTGGGGGAATCAAACAAGCAAACTGTTCCAGAAAAGAGATTCCCGGATAAAGAAGAATAAACCAGAGGTGGTAAGTTCTGCATGTATATTTTACCTCAATAAAAAAGTAGAAAATCTATTCAGGCAGGAAAAAAAGAATAATAAACTAGGATTCTTCTAATTCTACTCTGACTCTCTTAGGATAACTGGGTAAGGAGCGAAAAGATGAGAGTGACCTGGAGACCCGGCAGTAACCCCGAATGACAGACCCAAGCCACAGTGAGCTCACAGGGGCCGGGTCCTTGCGGCCAGTGTCCGGCTGCTCAGCCAAAGCAAAGAACGCACTTGCTGCTTCTCACTGGCCCACATTTCCCCGAGTGCTGGAATGAGAGGCAGGGCCTTGCAGGGCTTCCCCCGGAGAGGACAGAAGATGCCTAAAGACAGTGACTGCCCTCTCAACCACGTTCCCAAACCCTGTGCAGCCAAAACAGGCCGTTAGGCCAAGTCACAGAAACCAAACCCCAAAGCTCACCAATTCAAAGAAGGGATTCCCCTTTCAGTCCTGCCCCAAAATGCAATGAAAATGCCCATCCTAGTGACAGGCAGAGCCTCTGTGTCACCTTCGATCCTCCTGAGGACGGCTGGCCACAAGGGGAGCCCTCCGCCCACTGATCAGTGGGTGTCACACTCCAAGGAAAAGGCTGCTTCTCAAGGCAGGGCTCTGTCTTCCAACCAGCTGCTACGGACTTATACGACAGGCATGGTGAGGTCCGTCACCTCTTGTTAGTGGCTTCTGACAATCAGGTTTGGCCCCCAAGAACCTTTTCCCCTCCAGGGGAAGCCAGCCCAGCCTCACTCCCCCAGGCAGCACCTCTGGTTAGGGGCACGTGCTGGCCTTGCCCAGCCCCTCCACCCCGCCCAGCTCCCAGGACGAGTTCTGGAGTGTTCTTCCGAGGCGCTGGGCCGTGTGCAGGAGAGGGGCCAAGCCAGGCTGATGGAGAACAGCAGAGGCGGCTTCAAGGTCTGCAGGCTAAAGAGACAACTCACAAGTGACCTTTTTGTTGTTGTTTTTTTTAACCTAAGAGTAAAACTACTTTCTGTAAACAAAGCGAAATGGGCCTGTTTGTAACCTCAGTTCAGAGGACATGCTTGTGATGGTGTCGCACAATCCCAACCTTCCAAGCAGCTGTAACTTGGAAGCTGTGACCTGGGGCTGGGGAACGGAGGGCAGACAAAGACACAGCAGCTCTACAGACGGTCCTTTCCACGAATTCAGGCCACCTGCCGTGGGGAAGAGTCCCATCTCGAGGCACATGGCCCAGCTCACCACTCTGCGGGGGCTGTGGTGCCACCCGAGATACCCCGCAAGGCACCAATTACAAACCCTTCCTCCAGTCACCAAATGTAGCAGCTTGTGGTATTAAAAGAAAACACTAGTAGCAGATGTCTTGCACCAAACCCCAGCAGAAACAGTTTGGTACGTGGATGACAAAAACCATGTCCTGAGCATTTAAAAAATCCTAATGTGCACGACAAGGCCTGGAAAAAGGAACCTATCAAATGCAAGGAACTTGTAAGATGCAGGGAAACAATTTAAAAATAACAGACAGAAACTGGGCAAGAGACCACATGCCATATTCTCTATTGTGCCCTAACTTCCAAGAGCCAAAAGACAGCCAAAGAGCCGCGGAACCTCCAATGCTCAGTCCTGTCCAAAGAGTAATCCTGTCTTCATAGCAGCACATTGAACAATTTAAATTATTCTTATTAAATAATATTGCTTCTAGGCAGAGGTATGGTGGAGGAGGCTGAGACGTGGCGCCAGCAGACACTTTCCTGCAAGCCCAGATGCGGAGGCCGAAGGCGTCGCTGGGGCAGCTGAGTGGCCCACAGAGTGGCCATGGACGTGGCCGTGGCTCCGATTCAGCGTCCTGGGGCTCTTCTGACGTGCGAAGAGGCCACAACCCTTTCCTGTCACTTACCCTGGAGTCGCGGCGTCTGGTCAGCACTGATGCGGGAGGCGGCTCTCGGGCTATCTGAAGCCCCTTCTTGGGGGGCTCTGCTCTCAGAGGCGCGGAGGGGCTGGGGACAGCCTGTGGCGTCCACTCCAGGGACGGAGACAGTCCCTCACACCACGTGAAGTCACTTAAGTGCCAAGCGGAATTTGAGGCTTCTGAGGAAAAACAGAGCATTCACCCCCCACCCCCAGCTCTAAAAGCTACGGGGAAAATCCTTTCTTCTTTTCTAATGTGTTCTCACATTCAACTAAGTTTGCATCCTTCCCAATGAGGTCTGTTCTTTGTTTCTAGAAAGTGAGACGCTGATTTCAAAGCCAAAGAAACTCTTCCTCCTCTAAACTCTGAATTGCCCGACCAGGGGGTTTCTCTCCACGGAGACTCAGGCTCGCTTTGGTCCACAGAGATCCTTCTTTATTTAAAGAGGTGAGAGCGTGAGCTGAGCGATGCCTGTGATCCCAAGCCAGTCTCTCGCCAGGACCAGAGGTCCAGAGCGGGGCCTCAGGAGCTGGGAGGCCCAGGCGGTTTGAGGACACCGGCGGGGAGGCCTTGGCAAAGCACCGCCCGGCCCAGCCGAGAGACACAAAGGACGGCCCCGAGGATCACAGATCACTCATCTTAGCAACTCAGACATTCACCCCCACTTCCATTTGGCTGGGGTCTTCAATGAGAGATACAGAAAATACAAACAAGTAGCAAACCCCAGACAGGGGCAAAGAAGACCTTAAGGGGCTGTCGTCGTGGTGCTCACGGGCAACTGCTGCCTGGTCTCAGTCCCCTCCCGGGTCTTCCCAGCGCTGGTCTCCAGGGGCTGCGCACAGGGGACCCGCCCCAGGTCCTGCCTTCCCGGAGCACACGGCGACCTCTAAGTGGACACCAGCGGGAGAGGACTAGGGCGCTGCAGAAGTGTCTGCCAGGCCACACACGGCCCCGACGTCAAGGGGGATTCCAGTTGGGATGGGGTTCAGGGTGCGTAGTTTCTAAGGATTTGGAAAAGGGATGTTCTACGTGAGTCCTTCAAAGGCTTTGAATGACAGACCCTCCACCCTCAACAGAGGCTGGGTATTAGCAGGAGAACTTCAGCAAGCAAAGAAAGATGCAGACAGCCAAGGACAGGTGTGTACCATCCGCCTGGACGACCTGGGTCTCCCTGTGGCCCTCGGCTCCGCTGCACCGGGGACCCCGGGCTGGTGGCGGGAGCCGGCACGAGGGAAAGCGCCCTGGGCCGAGTGCGATTCTGCGAAGCCCTTTGACTCCTCACATCACACTGGATTGTCTTGATGGGAACGTGCTCATCTATATAACATGCTATTTCTGTGACTTTCTTCCTACCAAAAGAGCACGTTTTCCTGTAAGTGGTACACCTGGTGATTTGCCAAGCAGGAAGCAGGAGAGAGAAGAGGGTCACCAGGCACCAGGCCTGGGAGGGAGCATCTGTCAGAGAGGCTCGAAGCAGGAGGGAGTGGTTCCCAGAGCCATCACCCCCACCCAGCGGTCTCTTCCCGTGGGCTGTGCCAGAGCCCCGCGCCCTGCGTGACCAGAGAGCAGGTCCTCAGACCTCTGCATCTGCAGTGATACCGGCATCACACTGGAATCGAGTTGTTTTCACTCCTGCCCCCGACACTGCTAGGGTCAGCCCACCCTTAACAAGCTAGAGAAGGTGGCCTGGGCACCATGGTGGGTCACAGGCCGCCAAGGCCAGGGCAGCGGCTCTCCCAGTCGCCCTGGCCTGTGCTCTGGCTTCTGCGCCTGAATTCAGCCGGGAGATTCTCGCTTGGTCAGCTCGGAGAGCGCCTGGCCGGGATGCACATCTCCTTCGGGCACCGGCCGCTGCTAGGCCTCTGGCCACCAGTTCCAGGACAAGTTCTGGCACGAGCCAGGCATGCCACCTGGTCACATGACCAAAAACCCTGGAGCAGTGGTTTCTGGCCTAGCCCTCCCGCGCCTGCCTCGCTTGGGGACTGAGCTGCCCCACGGCCACTTCCCTTCTCAGTCGCAGCAGAAGCTAAAAGGCGCTGACTGTGCGTGGCACGCCGTCACCCACTGAGCTTCCGTCCTCTCCACTTCCCGCTTCATCCATCCCCTCCCTTTCTTCTCTCTTCACCTGGAACCCCCATAAATATGAGAGTAAAAAAGCGCAGAAACCAAACCCTCTCATAGCCAGGAGCAGACAGATCGGAGCCAGACCGACGAGACCAGGTGAAGCTGCCACCAAATGCTCGGTGGCCAGCCTTCTGATCCAGCCTGGCGCGGGTGTTCTGCAGACTACGTCAACTTTCACAAGGAGACAAACCTGCGGCAGTTGCCACAGTCCAAAAGCAAACAGAGTTCCCCTCTGGGGGTGACAGTCACTAAGGAAAGGAAGCAGCAGCGGGCAGCCCTCAAGGCCTGTGACACACCCTCCCGAGAGGGCTCTTGCCCAGCAAGCGGCGCCTGTGCTGGGGGCCGCGGCCACCCCCGCCACCCGCTGGCGCACGCCCACCCGCGCACACACCAGGCACACACCATGCCAGCAACCGTGAGTGGAACAGACCATCATCTCTCGCCCTCCACAGCGGGGACCACTCCTGAGGACGCAGCCCCGCTGTCTCCATCCTGCCTCGGTTCTCCAGACCTCACCCAAGGCAACACGGGCTTCGAAAAAGAGCTTATTTCCATTTAAAGTTTAGTGCCATAGAAAAAACTGGTTTGGGGGCCTTAAAACCAAAAGAACAGGGATTTTCCCACCACGGCAGAAGGGAGGGGGCCAGCAGATGTTCTGCACTTGTCCGGGGACAGTGGCCCAGGGTGGCTGTGGCTGGGTCACACTGGTGGCCATTTTGGAAGGCGTGGTCCCTCCACTCCAGCGTCCTGGTTCCTGGGGGACCCCTGCCGTCCCCCCAGACGCTCTCCAGGAAACTGGGTCTCTCTGTGGTTTTCCACGGGGCCAGGGCAGAGGCTGCAATGCCGAGGACAGGCCACTGCTGAGAACAGCCACTCCTCGGAGACTCCTGGAGCTCTGTGTTGAATGCGTTGTCGTTTCTATTTGTGGTCGCTACCAGGAGAACCAACACCAGAGTGACGAGCAAAATTAGAGTCGATCTTTACATAGATGCCTTGGTGTTCCTGACAACATTCTCCAAGACAAGCTGCAGGACTCCAATCTCATCCCCGTGTTGTCTGGCTCTGCTCACAGCACGTGGTCCGAGGTGCCATCAGCTGTCTGCAGGTGCAGGGCTACTTCCCGAGGGACCCAGGAGCCAAGCGACCAAGCAGCGCCGCCCATCCTTTGGTTCCCACCGTGCTGCAGACTAAGGCATGGGAGGCAGCAGGAGCGGAGCGTGGCGGGCACAGCCTGCGAGCCACCCGTGTATGGAGGGGCCTCCTTTCCGCTGGCTGACCACAGTCCCCAGCGCTTCAGGCAGAAGAGATGGTTCCAATTTAAAACAGCAGATAGATCTGGGTGGCCGGGAAACTGATCTGGTGACAGGTAGCAGGAGCAGACTGTGCTCAGCAATAGTAGGTCCCACTGTACTCGTCAGCGGCAGGATGACAAAGCTACTGGGGAACATGGGCAGCTCGTCCCACCCTGCCTCCCGTGGGGGCAGGTGTACCCAGCCGTGGCCGGTGCTGCGGGCTGGACGCTGTGGCCGGGGGCTCTGGACAGACCTTTTGTCCAAGAACTTTCTCCCTCAGACACCAGGCAGGAAGCGTGGATCTCACTTGCAGTTGACAGACAAGGGCGGCAGGTTGACTCTTCGAGGGGACTAATGCCGGTAGGACCCCAGACCTATGGCTGAAGATGAAAACCTCAAACACATTATCTTTTTGTGTTTGTTTCAGATTTATGATTCAGCCTGAATTCCATGTTTAGACGAAAGAAATATTTGGGGTCCAAAGGCAAGCCGGGACCCCTCTGCGTTAATGGCGACACTTTCTATGTCATGCTTGGGGAAAAGACAGCAGGAAACAGGTTAGCGCCTGCTGCCCCGTCGCGTCTTCCCGGGGAGGCTGGCGTGTACTGTGCCGCTGCCGTCCTGGCCACTGGCTCACAGGGGGTATCCGACACCTTCCTTGGGATGCTGAGCTACGGCCTTGTCCCCGCACCCCTGACGGAGAGGCCTGGGGAGAGGAGGTGGTGCTGAGGGAGGAGGAAAAAACAAAGAATTCCCAGAATCATACAATCAGTTGTCTGAACTCGTTTATGTGTTTTGTTTTGAACCACGGGAGGACAGGAGATAAAAATGGAAAGGGCTAGGCGTGTCCAGGGGCCCCTGTCGAGCCACCTGCCTGCTGGGCGCCACAGGCCGCTGTTCTCCTGCGTCCGTGGGCGCAGCTGCCTGCACTGCCAGGCCCAGCTCCGGGGGCACTGCTGGGTGAGTCCCACTCCACCCGGAGCAGGTGACGTCACTCCCCGGGGCTTGGCCCCTGGGGGCCGGTGGCTGCAATGACCCCAGCCTGTGTGGTTCCAGTCCCACTGGGCTCCTCCACCCGGGACCTCTTGACCTCGGGCTCCCCAGTGGAAGAGGCAGAGGTGGCGGTGGTGGTGGTGGTGGCGGCGGTGGCTGGTGTGGCAGTGGCCGCTGCCGCGCCGGCTGCTGCTGGCTCCTCGGGCCCCATCTCGCACACCCGGGTGACCACCACTGGCGTGGACGAACTCGCCTGGGCTGCCAGGAGCTGCAGGGGGCTGGTGAGGGCTGAGCGGAGGAAGAAGAGGTTTACTTGGGGAGTCTGGGGACAGGCCCACCACCAGCCCGGTGCCCTCTCCGTGAGGCCACGCCATCTCCTCCGGCTTCGCTTCTCTAACCTGCCCAGTGGCCCTCCATCTCCCAGCCCCCCATGCTGCTGCGTCTGTCTGGACCCAGCTGGGCACCTGACAACTGCCCCTCACCTCTCTGACACAGGTGTGCCTGTCCCGGACCACCCACTGGAGCCTAAGCCCACCCGCCCAGGACCTCTTACTTCCTCCTGCCTCACCCCGGTGGAGCCTGAGCACTAGACAGGGTGGAGACGTGGTCTTTCCCTCCCTCGCTCTTTCATAGCCTTAGCGTAGTGCCTGGAGCGTAGCATGCGCTCAGTAAATCCACTGAACCGATCGGATGACGGGGCGCCGTGGAAAAGCACTTGCCGCACTGACCACCGCGCAGCCACAGAGCCCGGGCCGAGGCCTGGAGCCCGAGCGGGACTCACCGTAGGCGCTGCCGGCCACGCTGCTGGTGGGCATGGCGTGCTTCCCGTTCTGAGTGACGGCCCGCACCGGCAGGTGGTGCTGCCCGATGGCCACTGGCGCGGCCGGCTGCAGGATGGCGACCGTGTGTCCAGGGACTCCTGGGGCCACCTGGCTGGCCACCGTCTGGATCACTCCACTGGCCGCAGGGATGGTGGCAAACGCGATGGTGGGTTTCTCCTCCAAGCCTGCGGGACAGGAACCGTGTCAGAACACACTCGGCCAACAAGGCGATGGGTTCTCACTGATGCCGCAGCCTAAGTCTGCCAACGGGGGAAAGTGGAGATGGCTTTGGGAAAAACTTTGGTTCTCAAAAGAAAAACCCCACCGATGAACTATATTTCCAAATAAAACAATCAGTAGGGTTTAGAAAAATATTTTAAGTACCTTAACTTGAATCAACCAAATGCAATCTGAGAAAGAGAACACACTGGAGTGAAATCTGTAGCTCAGTTTTCCTTCAGCAAATGCAATTTTCATTATGACGGAAATAAAAATTACCGCCGAGATTAAGTGAACAGTGGTAATAACAGGTAGGAGAGGCCGTTTATGCACAAGTATTCCCGAGAGAACCCGCTACACGCGGCTGCACTGTCAACCCACGCCCGCTCTTCCCGCTAAGTGACTATGAAAACTCCCAAGGAGTCTTCCACAGGCTTATTCTTTCTCCTGTGGGAAATGTCAAATTCCAATTTTAGGCAGGACCTCACAACTTATTTCATTGTCACCTTAAGGGGAAAAAAAGGAAACAGCTATGTGCATTGGAAGGCCACATGCAACAAAGGAAGACGCATTTGAGGACAATGAATGCTGATTTAGACAGGCAGGACAGGCAGGGGCCCGAGACCACCCGAGAGCCGCCCTCTGCGAGCCCCAGGCCCAGGCAGGAGGCGCCAGGTCCTGGAGGGCAGGGCGGCGCGGTGAGCTCCCACAGAGGCAGCCGGCTGCACCCCTGTTACCTCTGGCTTCACCGCCCAGGTCCAGCACGGCTGTGCCCGCGGTGTCGTGGGAGCCCCCTGCCGAGCCCTGGCTGGCCAGGATGTACCCGTTGGCGGAGCTGGCGGAGGTGGTGACCACCCTGACCATGGTGACGGTGGGGGCCTGCTGCACAACGTGGATCGCGTGGCCTGCGGGCTGCTGTGACGTCACGATGGAGGCCGGCATGTAGGCCACGGGCTTGGCCACCAAATTGGACGGGCGGGGAGGCACAGCCATGATCACTGGCTGGGCACTGACGGGGGAGCCTGGACCAGGGACAGAAAGAGAGCGGTGACTCCTTGGGCCCACCCAGCCTCGCCCCAGGCTGTTCCCAGTTCTGCCAGTCAGAGAAAGGACAAAACCATGCTTTACCGGGCGCGCTTTGGGAATACCGATACTCTGGAACAGCCGTTAACTTCGACCCCAAGTCAGAGTCATGCGGGATGGGGGAGCCCTCCCGAGACAGGCACTCCGGGGTCTGCAGGCCACTCGAGCGAGGGGACATCAGCCCAGGGTGCGTGGGCGAGGCTGGGGCACTCCTGAAAAGGAAGAAAAGAAAGGACCACGGCAGTGAGTTGGTGTGTAAGGCACGAGAGGACATTAAACAGACACCGTGCATCTCGATGTCACCCACATCCTCTGCCACGGGCCCCGGTGTGGGCTCCGTGCTCCCACGGCGCGTCCAACGCTAATGCCCTGGGCAGTGCCGACGGCCCCTGGAAACACGAGGCCAGCAGTTAAAGCCCCACTCGGGGCAGCTGGCGGGGGTGGCTCCACAAAGGGAGGGCTCGGTGTCACTGTGGCATTTGCTACCGTCTACAGTGCCCATCTCCTGAGGTGCCAGACAGTCTTCCGCAACAGTGGCTCGGCCTCCTCTATCAAAAAACACAGCTTGTGTGTGACGGGCACAGCTTTCCGCCAGGAAAACTGCATTTGAGAGAGCGACACAAGTTCCAGGGCCCCACTGCTTATCCTGCGTAGATAATATCCCCAGGTCACCGCTTCCCTCCGTTCCCGCCAGCTGCTGCCAGCGAGTGTCCAGTGGGCTCGGCTGTGCCACCGCTGAGACTCAGCCCCGGAAACAGAATCTGCTTTTTTCCCCGGGAAGACGGGCAGGGATATGTGTCCACCTGCAGCGCTGAACATGCCGAGTGGGTTTGTTCAGCACAGGCCCCGAGAGGCAGGAAGCTGGGACCGGCCAGGTGCAGTTTGGGGAAGAAGCAGTCTTAATGTCACATTCATAATCCGCGCTACAAATGCCCTCGGTCACTCTGACTGTGCCATGTCCACTGCGTGTGGCGGTGCTAGGGCTGCCCTCGGTCTGGCCAGACCTCTCGCCTGTTCTTCATCCCGTGACGAGAGGCCTCGTCCGCTTAGCCCAACACTCACATGACTCATTCCCAAACCAGGGGTGACTGGGCCACTCTGCAGCCCCAAGTCCTCATGGTCCTAGTGCTCCCCAAAGAGCCCTTTCGAGGTCCTCTGCAATCCGGCCTTACTCTTCCCAGCCCCCGCTTCTATGACCTCCCTTGCGCTCGAGACACGCACGCCCAGCCCTGGAAGTCTGGCCAGCCCTTCCTGGTCGACACCAAAGCTCTCGCCGCGCCATCCTCCTGGCCTGAGAGGTCTCCCTTCATCCTGAAAATTCTACTTGGCACACATCTGCTTCCCCAACCACAGGGCGACCTTCCTCAAGATGGGACCTCCTGCTCCTTACAGAGGCTCCTTACACGGTTTCCTGGACACACCGGGCACACAGAGCACACTCCGGTAACTGTCCCTTCAGTAACGGTAAAAAATCACATTGGTGGCTGGTATGGGTCAAATCGTGTCCCCTAAAGAAGACATGTTGGAATCCTGATCCCCCGGCCCTCAGAGTGTGACCTTACTTGGATATGGTGTCTTTACAGGGTGATCTGATTACAGTGAGGTCAGTAGGGTGGGCCCTGACCCCATACGACAGGTGCCCTCACACTAGGGGGTCCTTGCAACAGACACGCATAAGAAAGATGCCACGTGAAGATGAAGGCAGAGGTCGGGGTGACTCGTCTACAAGCCAAGGACCCACAAAGACCGACAGTGACCACGGGAAGCTCCGGAATAGGCCTGGAACAGATGCTGTCACAGACCTCCACAGGAACTAACTCTGCCGATGCCCTGACCTTGGACTTCTAGCTTCCAGCCCTGGAAGACAGTAAGGGCCTATTGTTTACGTGGCTTGGTCTGTGGTGCTCGTTACAACACCCAAGCAGGCTAACAGCTTAATACAATTTCCCTTCACATTCCTATTTAAGCAATGTAGTGTTCTAGAAAATCTCAGTTCAGATGAAACACTCCAAATGATGAACGTTTTTTTGAATTCTTACGTTACCAATCTGACTGATTCACCTGGGAGTCACGATGCCAGAGCCTACACGGAAACAGATTTGCGGACATTTATGCGTAAACTTTCACAGAATCGCCCTTTAGACGCCCTTCCCACTGCTACACACATTTCAGCTTCGAGGAACCAAAATGTCAGAGAACCAGTCAGTGGTTGATTTGTTAACTTTAGTATTATAGAAGTTCATTGATCCTGAGATAGTCTCTTTCTCTCTCAAAAAAAAAAAAAAAAAAAGTGGAGTTTTTTAAGTGCCAAAAATAATACAATTGTCCCTCTGTGTCTGTGGGGAATGGGTTCCAGGACTCCTGAGGATGCCACAGTTTCCCAATACTCAAGTCCCTGATGCAGAATGGTGCAGGATTTGCCTACAGCCTACGCACATCCTCTTGCACACCTTAAATAGCTTCTAGATTACTGAGAATGTTTAATACAACGTAAAGGCTACGTTGGTGGTTGTTTTTACTTATATTATTTTGTATTGTTATTTTTTATTCGTTTTTTGTTTTCCTGAGCATTTCTGATCCACGATCAGTTGCGTCCGAGGACACGGAACCTGGGGACACAGGGGCTGCCGCGCCGCCAACCCCTACGCGGGGAGGCCGAGCGCTCCTGACGGCGAGGCCAGCAGCACGGACACGCTTACCTTGAGGACAGAGGCCCAAAGGGGGTGCGGAAGCAGGAGACGCCCCTCTGCCTCCGCTTCCGGAACGCCTGTTCCACGAGTTTGGCTTCTGAGGCAGGGTCTATTCGCCAAAACGACCCCTTCCCAGGCTCCTCCTGGGAACGCGGGACTTTAATAAAGTAGCGGTTCAAAGAGAGGTTGTGTCGGATAGAATTCTGCAGGGAAGCAGAGATGGTCCCCGGTTAGCAGCGAATCAGGAAACAAACCCCACCCGCCACCCTGCCCCAAATCTGAACGTGGCGGACGCAGGACCGGAGTGGCCAGGACAGGCCATCACGCGCCCGAGGGCCTCGGTGCCGGCACTGGCTGTGCTGTCCTGGCAAGCGCAAAGCACAGCGGCAGTTTTGTGCTGATCCAGCTCAGTGTCATCACCCTTCTTCACAGAAAAAGCGAGACACAAAGACAGACCGCGGTCTGGGAGTATGTCTGGGACGCAGGCGAGACTGGCTCCTACAGAGCTCAGAGCTCGAGTGGAATAAACCAGTGAATGGGAGACGGTGACTTTGGAGAAACACAAGCGTGACACGAGTCAGTCGCGGCTGGTGTAGCGCAGGCCTCACGACCCCACAGAAAGATAAAATATACGCAACCTAGACACGTGGCCTCGTATTTGCAAGACGTGTACAGCCACGTTTCCAGCTCAGCACAGCAAGCGTGACATGGAACAAGGCATTTACCCATCTTCACAGTTCTGGGCATGAGAAGGAGGGAAATTAATAAAACAGACTACTTTAGACGCAACAGCACCACGGCTCTCACGCACGTTAGGTGTCCCATGTGTCACCTGTGAAAACCTCCCTATGGGTCTTTTCTGGCCACTTTAAACGAAGGATGTGCCTGTCGCAGTTCCCTGTCCTCACCTGCCAGCCTTTGTCGGCCGTCCTGTAATAGGGGTAATGTCTGGTGATGTGGGCGTAGATGCCGCTTAGTGTCAGCTGCCGGTCCTGGGCCGAGGAGATGGCCTGCACGATCAGCTGCGCGTACGAGTACGGCGGCTTCGACTCGTCCTGCGGAGCAACGGAGAGCACGGGGTGAACGCAGGAGCGGCTCGGGGTCCGGCCTACCCACACGTCACCCGCTGATCGAGAAGAACCTTCCGGCAAGGACACGCGTGTGGAGATCCAATCGATCCCAGCGACCTCCAACCACTGTGTTAACGCGCCCGGGTTAAACTGGGAATAGCCGCTTTTGCCCCATGGGAAGGAAAAATTAGGTTTTCATTGTAATTTAGTTCTGAGATTCAAATTTCTCACCTCGACAAATTGATTTTAGAACAGTTATCAGATGTAAATGAACTAAGACACAAGTTATAAGAAAAAAAGTGTCACTCCTCTCAAAGTCTGGAATTAGAGCTCTGAGGCTGTCTGTCAGTCACAGGCGAACAAGGAGCCGGATTTCTCGTGGGCCGTGAGGACTGACTCTCGCAGCCGTGCTCCCTGGGCACACCGTCTGTGCCACCAACTCCCTACGGCCACTCTCGATCAGCACGTGTGTCACAGGAGCTGGGGAGGGCTCAGACCTTGGGGCTGTCCCCTCCGGACGCGTCTGCCTGCTGCTCCGAGGCGGCCTTCGCTGCGAACTCTGCTGCCAGCTGCAGGTCCGAGGTCACGTTCTGGACGAAGCGGTAACCTGAGGACCCGGCGCCGCGAGGACTGGCAGGGCAGGAGTTGGGGACGCTGAGGAGAGAAGGACACACTGTGAGTGCACGACCCTGAGAGGGCGGCTCTGTAGGACGCAGGACCTGCCTACCCAGGTGACGGCAGGGGGAGAGGAAACTCACTCCACCTCCCAAGGGGGAAGGTTTCCGTGACCCTGCAGACCCCCTTAGAAAGGAAGGGAAAGTGCAACCAGAGGACAAAAGTTTTAAGTTACACAGGGTCAAAGACAAGGCTCTGGAGATGGCAAGTACATTTCACTCCCACGGTAACTTCTGTTCTGGGGAGCTGAGAGCACTGTGGCCCCCGTCCTGCCATAGCGCAGGGCCTAGGGCAGTGCCCCATGGGGTGGCTCTGCAGGACCTGACACCATGGACACTCCCATGTGACAACATGCACTTAGGACTCAGGACAGTCGCCGCTAGTCCACAGATGTCCACAAGATGGCGCCATGAGAAAAGGCTGCGGGAACGACACCCGTAGTCACACCCGCAAAGGCGACAGATGCCGGGCGGGGGCGCCATCCACCCATGCACCGAGCAGGGGTGGCAGGTGGACCCGCCAGCACTGGAGTCTCTCCTGTGGGGAAGAGGCGCCTGTGGGTTTGTCCTGAGCCGCGGCCACCAACCAGCTCAAGCCTGGTGTTCCATGGTCCGGCGTCCCGGCACAGGGGCTGCGGTGGGAGGGCTCCCATTCCCATCCCGGTCCCAACCCCGTGGGAACATGTGGCAGGTTCTCGGTGTGTCCCTCCGACAGGCTCTGTGGAAGTCAGGCAGCGTCTGTTGCTCTGATCAATACACTCTGGCCTGTTTCCTCAAACTAACTGAGACAGGCTTTGGCTATCAAACCGCATCAGTTTTGATTCTGAAAATGATTTCTATTCAAAATAGAGAAAGCAAGGGGAACTCCAAGAGTAGGTGCAGGGACCCCCGCCAGAAGGCGCACCTGTAGTTGTCCTGTCACATGTGGACACCCGCCCTCCTCGCAGGCCGGGCGGGACCCCAGCAGGCCTGCGCCGTCGCCCCACTGACAGCCCCAGCCCTCTCGAGGCTCCTCGATGCCCTGCCTCCCCGGCTGCCACACCCCCGCCCAGAACCATCTGGAGGGTCAGCTCTGAACGTGCCCTGTGTTCCCCATTGTAGTGCCACTTCCTTTGCCTGGAACCCCTCCCCCAACTGTTCCAACAGCAAGACTTCTCCCGACCTCCACATGCGCTGCCTTCCAGTACCCCCCCCCCGCCCTGCACCCCACCGTCGGGGCCACCCCTCAGCCCTGGGTGGCGGCCCCAGTTCCTGACTCGTCTCCTGCGCTGGATGTAGTGAGGGGTGGGAAAGTAAACCAGCGGCTGAGAAACAGGTGGCGACTGTATTCATGGTGAATTCAACTCCGGGTCATTATCCCTTTTCGGTAATGACTCCGCGTCAGCCAGACAGAATTTTAAGGCTCCAACTGAGAATTCTTGTTCTCTTTCCCCCCAGACTCCCAAGTGTGGCAGAGACAGCAAGTTCTGCACGTGGAGGGGCTTTGATCGACACCCACGGACAGTCTGTAGAGGGAGGAGACAATGATAAAGGGGCTTTTTCTGACTTTCATTCTGAACCCAAAATACAACACCCAAGCTTATAAAGGAAGGTGGGAGAGGGAGAGAAAAGATTTTACTCTAACAGCACACACACTCAAAGGGCAGGTTTTCCAAGGGCATCCGTCTGCACACCGGCCCAACGCTGTGCTCAGTGGGGGCGCGGCCGAGGCGGGCCAGTCGCTGAGTCCACGGACGATGCAGCCCCAGTGACGGACACACAGGGGTGCACCCTGTCCCAACCCAGCACATCCTGACACCCACGGACGTCATACCTTGTTGTGTACCACCTACCTGAGGTGTCACTCGGGAACACACCTGACTCCCCAGAGACAGGCTAGGGACAGCGGGCTTAGCTCGGCCACCCCCACCAGCTCTGACGGCAAATGGCGATGCTGAGCCCAGGCAGGCCACCAGGCTCCTGCTCTGAGCAGTCACTTTGTAAAAGATGGTAGAAAATTTAGGTCTAAACCTCAGGAGGCAAAACCCAAAGAGAAGGCTGTCATTTCTGACAGAAAGATTTCAAATGGAAATAAAAGCAGGGCCCGGCGCCGGCTGGCCTGGAAACAGGGCAGAAGGCCAGGGCAGCTCTTCACCACTTTCTGGAGCACCGGCCCGGTCTGTGCTGACAGCTGCTGGTTGGACGGGCTGGGCAGCGCGCTGTGGCAGTCGCTGGAGCGCCGTGACGCTCTCTAGCGGCGCCTGGCCGAGGGACAACGTGCATTTGCTCACACGGCTCTTCCGGTCCTCGCTGCGGCTCGTTTCTCAATAAACCCCTTTCAGCTGTCCTCTCACGCTGGCTTCAGCGCGGGGCTGCGCCTGGTACCAGGCCACCCTGACATTAAACCTGCATCTGAGGGGAGGCAGCAAGCAAGACGCCATGCAGCTCCGGAACATTTGGGCCATAAAACACTCGAGTGGAGCCTGGGTGGGATGGGACACCTGAGCTGCGAAGCAACGCTCTTGCCCTGGGGACTGCACGCAGGGGCCGCGGAGGCCGTCTGGGAAAACGGATCAAGAATTCAGTGTTTCCTGCTGGGAATTTTGTCCTACTCCACTAAATATTTCCGGAGTTTTTAGCGATTTGAGAAAAATTCTTAAAAAGTATAAATACACACGTTATCTCTTGGGACAGGAGAGAAAAGGAGGGGGGGCACTCTTAGGGATGGCCCCGGCCTTGGCCGAGACCCAGGTTCCCAGCTGCCAGGGCGAGGAAAGTCTGGATTTGGGGGCAGGGAGAGGACAGCAAGGGTCACGCAGGGCACACGCGGCTCCCCCTGACCTGAGCCCAGAAGTGGGACAGAAGCGGAGCGTGAGGTTCAGACCACCAGTCACCGATTTATCTTCTCAATTCCTGTTTCCATTTCGGGCAGGAAAGCCAGAGGGTCCTGCATGGCAACTGCCCAGGTGTGTTCCCGCCAGGACAACCCCACGTTGCCCCAAGACAGCCAGGATCACCCAAGATACAGCTGGCAAGGCGACCATGTGGCATGTGCAGGGACATCTGAAAAGAACAGCCTGTGGCCTGTGGGCCCGATGTGTCGCTTGGCTGCACGATGGTAAGGTTCAAGCTGAGGAACACAAATCTGCCAAGAGACCTAAAGCTGCCACTGCAGTGGCCAACCGGGGTCCCCAGAGCCTGACAGGCCTCCTCCCCGGCACACGACTGTGCTCCTTCCGGATCGGCCGACACCGCTGAGCTCTGCGCTCAGACCGGGAACAGCACCTGAGAGGGCCTGAGGCTCAGAACAGCCAAGGCCACCCGAGCCGGGAAACCTTCTGGTCACTCCCCCCGCTGACCCAAGCGGCCTTTCCGGACCCCGATCTTAAGGCACACCTGTTGTTTGAGGAAAGCTTATACCAGGCAGGACACAACAGAATAGGGGACCAGAGGAACCGACACAAGCCAGGGAGAAGATGAAAATCCTAAAACCAAGCAAACACGGTTCACGTGCCTAAGGAGGTCCTATGCCTACAAGAGAGTAACAACACTACTGGAGCACTTGGGAGAGCAAGAAAATGCTCTTAAAAAAAAAAAAGAAGAAGAAGAAGAGAAATAAAATCCAAGAAAGGGTAGAAGGAGAGACTGGAGAAAATCTCCCAGAGAGAGAAACAACATAGCGGAGGGAGGGGGCCCTGGAGGCCACCAGACACAGCCAGTCCCAGGACAGGAGACAAGGGGAGGGCAACATAAATAGAGATAATTTCCCAGAATTGTAGGAAACAAGTCTTCAGACTGAAAAGGCCCCACTACATGCCCAAAGAATGCAAGAGACCACCCAAGCCGCATGAGGTGCCACCTCATGTGGGGACGAGGAAGCCTCAGAGTCTTGGGTAGAACTGGGAATTGGAGGAGACAGGATTCCTTAACAGCAACATTCAAGGCCAGAGAGTGAGTGTAAATTCTGAGGGGAAAAAGGTTTCCAACCTTGAACTTTCTACCCAGTAACACTAACTTTTCAGGCATGGAAGATTTTTTTTTTTTTTTTAAGAAAAGTACCTCTCCTGTACCCTTTCCCAGGAAGTGACTGGAGGGTGTTCTCTAATAAAACAAAGGGGCAAATCAGGAAAGAGGAAGAAGCAGAAATCAGGCAAGAACCCTCTTCCCCCTCCACCTCCAGAGAGAATTCCCAGGAGGATGGAGAAGATGATCCCGTGGTCAAAGGGGACCCAGCCCCGGGTCCTGGCTGGAGGAGGCAGTGGGCCCAGCGGAAGGCCTTTACAGTAAATGTGAAACCAACGGTTGTAAACGCCCACCGGGCAAAGAGCGCAGGATGTGCCTGCAATAACCACACACAGAGAAGAGGCCGAAAGCACAAGGAAGGAAATGGCTAAGCGTTACATTATTGCACAGCTCTAATGGAGAAAATGCTAATACCAGTTAGTTAAACAAAAAATGATGATGTAATCTTACTGGGAGGATGGGGCGGTGGGGGGAGGAAGCTAAATCCTGAATTCCCACATAGGAAGTCCATTTGTCATTTCTGAAACTGAAAAGCGAAGGGAGAGCCTCGTAAGTGCACGGCTCAGAGGCACACGGTTGCAACTGAGAAGGGGTTATCTCTGGGGTGTGCCCTGTCTTTTTTTGAAATGTTTGAATTTTGTGTAACACATACTGAGTATTTCTGTAATCTGAAAAATAAATAAAAGAACAGGGAAAGAAAATTCTTGGAGGCAAATTGCTTAGAATTATTTTAAAGAAAGGTTGTGTTCCCTTAAGATAAATTCAACACTGTAAAATCCTGGGAAGATTTTTTTTTTTTTTTTAATTAACTAGAATCAGTGACAAACACTCAGCAAGCTGCCTGCACTTGCTCTTCTCAGACCAGACTTGAGACCCCAGTGGGTGCTTCCTGCCGCCCCGAGGACTGTCCCTGCGTAACAGGGCTTTCCCTGCATGAGGTGCCCACGCAGAGGCCCTCCCATAGCCTATTCCACACCTAAGAAACACTGTCCCTGTGCCCTGGGGCACCTCAACACACTACGGCAGAGGCAGGAGTTTCAGTGCCAAGCTTCACGCACTCTCCACATTCAAGAGCCCCCAAATACCCCAGGAACAGATTTAGGCAGAATGGATAAATAAACAAAAGGAACTCAGTAAGTTTTACTTCCCCAGACTTTTCAGATGGGAAGGGGACAAGGTGGTGTGGGGTGGGGGTGGGGCCTGGCACTACCTGTGGGGGAGGGGCAGGGGGGGGCGCCACAAATGCTGAGGCCTCCAGGCCAGCCAGGCCCCAGCCGGTAACCTTTGAACTGGATATCCACCCTGAAGGAAGGCCCAAAGTGTGTCAGAAAAAGGCCAGTGTTTTGAATGCAGACCCAATAACCTCCAAACCCAAAAGGTCTTTATCATTAAAAACACCACCAACTTAGTCAGGGCCAAACTTTACCCAGCAATAAAGCAGAACTATACATAAAAAACGTGATTAAAAGGGTGAGATTTTGAAGTAAATTGCTTAATTTTTGTTTTCTATAATGCACTGCCAAGCTTTGCCGAATTTCACAAGTTACTTTCATGTTTGATCTCTCCATTCTGCCTAAATCCGTTCCTGGGGCATTTGGAGAAATCAAGAAAAGGCTTCTTAAAGAAACAGCTCTGAAAATCTCACCCTGGTGAGCAAAAATGAGTGGCTTTCTCTGCGTAGTGCCTTTGCTCTCATGAATTTCAGCAGTTCCCTCCAAACTCTACCTGGGAGGAGCACTTTTCAGACTGGTGGCTGTTTTTGTAAAACCTAGAAAATGATTAACCAACTCATTCTTTCCTAAAAATTCGTCTTCTTTGCAAAACGGAAAAAGGTCAAAATGCTGCTAAAGATAGCAGAATGTATTTCAAAGCTCGTTCATTCATCTTCTGGGTGGAGTACTTCAGGGCAGAAAAAAACAAACCAAAAAAAAAAAAAAAAGAAAGAAAGAAGAAGAAAACCAACCGCACACGGCCCCACCCACCCTGGGAAACACCGAGAAGACAGACGCCCAGAGCCACACGGGGAGAGGGGACTGGAGGGCCTCGAGGCCCCCCCCCAGTAACAGCCGCGGGAGGGAGGAGAGGGCTGGGCCGGCGTCGGGCGGGAGCCCGGCCCACATCACGCCAACGGCGCCCAGGCGAAGGCCACCAAATTAGGAAAGTGACCTGGGGAGGGGAGGGCGGAGCCAGGAGGGGCAGCCGGGCAGGCACCGCCCTCCCCCGCCCGTCTCCCGGGAGGGTGGATGGGAAGGCGGGGAGTGTTTGTAAACACCTCGGCTCCACCCTACGACAGAAACTCAGACTGAAAAGGATCTTGGCAAGCAAAACCTCAAGGGCCTCTGAGGTTTCTAAACACTCAATTGAATTCCACAGCGCTAAGATAAACGGATGTAAACACAGAGCCTTTTATTACAACCATCGAGGGCCGGAGAGTGACAAAGCCTGTCCCAACATCACTACTTTCTCAGCAAATAATTCTCCCAGCAGGAATCCAGTCCCTGCCCTGACCGGGGACAGGGTGGGGGGCGTGAACCAGGCCGCCCCCACCCCAGTCCCACTCGGAGAGCAGGTCAGATATGAACCCAGAGCTGCTTCAACCCCGGCTCAAACCGCACTCCCTGCACCACCAGCCTGACTTCTCAGAAGAGCTTCACCTGCTTAGTAAAAAATGTCTTTTCTTAGCTCCTTTACAAACCACGGCCTCCCTTCTAAAACAAAAGCTACTTTAATATACAAACCTTTTATTGAATATCTTAACCATTACTGGGAAATATTTTTATTTCATTAAGCCCTCCAGGTACAAACCAAAACATTTTTCTTTCTTAAGCAGCTTCTATTTGGCTGGATTAGAACCCGATTATTAGTAACCCATGCCATTCATAGGCCCTTAACTTGCGCCTGGTTTTCTTCTCGCGGGACACGGAAGGCCCTTCGCTGCCACCATGGACACAGCAGGGAACAGGTCTCTGAGATCTTGGCAAGATGTGAACTGGTCTCGGCTACCATCAGGACACCTGCTTTCAGGTGACACTGGAGGAAGACTTAAGTGTATATATAAGGTATTCGATGGCTTTATTGAAATGCAATTCACATGCCGAACAATTTATTCATTGAAAGTGTGGAATTCAGTGTTTTTTTGTGCATTCACAAAGTTGTGTAACCATCATTATTATCTAATTCCAGAACATTCTCTCATACAGCTGTTAAGGACTAAATAAAATACTTCATGTGTGGTGCTAAGCACAGGACCAGATGTATTAATAAACTTAGGTTTCCAGTAAGTTATTATTTATCATCACCATTACAGAGAATTATGAAATCAGTGCTGGCTTGATAGACAGTGAACACAGGGCCAGGGACGCTCAAGTGACCTGGCCGAGTTACACACGTGGCCATACACACGTCAGAACTCAGACTCCAGACCTGAGCCCTGGGCCTTGCCACTCACAGGTTGCCTCTGAACTTTTCTTTCTCTGTAAGGGAAAAAGCCACCCACCTGCTGGCTCTGCAAAAAAGGAAGCAGACTCCAAGCAACTCAAATGCAAATGATTCCCAACTTGTAACTGAAGTTTGCAGAAAAACAAAAAGTTTGCAGGAAAAACAAAAAAGCTGCAGGAAAATAAAAGGCCCAAGTAAAAAAACACTGACTGTGGCACTGGGGGAATCCAGCCCCCCATGGTTACGCTGAAAGAGAAACCAACACAGGACTCTAACCTTAAAGGAGCAGCAGAGGGCCAGCAGCGCCTGTGTGTGGCAGGCATAGGGACAGCAAATCTGCAGCTCCAAGGCAGTGGCAGGGTCAGGGTGTGCCTCAGAGACGGCACAGGTGTGCCTGAGACCCTTCCAGGGTACATGTGAGGTCAACACGATTGTCACAATAATCCTAGGACTCAGCATACAAGGGACAGTGGAAACTGCTGGTGCCTCCGACCCAACTGCACAGCCACAGCATCTTCCGGGCCATGGACGTGGAGTTGAGAAGGAAAAGCCTGTTTCATTTGAAAATGTCCGTGATGAAGCAGTAAAACATTTCAAATTTATTAACTCTTGACCCTCAAGCACACGTCTTTTCCACACCCTGCGCATCAAATGAGGAGCTGCAGAGGTACGCATGGCTGCGCCGAGGGGCCGCTGGTTGCTTTTTACCCTGAAACCTTCCCCCAGGGCTTCACCTTCAAGTAAGAGAAAGTTTGAGGACTTTCCTTTCTTCAAAATCTAGATTAGCTCCTAAAATGTCACCAAAAATTTCCACAAATGAAGCTTAGAAAACCAAAGTTCACCAAACCCTGGTATACAGACATACTTCACAACATTTCAATGTCTTAAAAAAAATACCTGTACATGCTTTAACGGACGCTAATATAGAAAACTTCAAACTGGGAAAGTGATGGACTAGTGAAATAGTACTACTATTCTGTGTTCCTTTTTTCACTCTGTAAGAGAATTCACCAGACCTTATGTAAGTAGTCAGGTCCCTGGCGCACTTAACAGCGGTTCAGAGCTTTCACGCACAGGCGACTTTCCAGAGACATCGACCGCGGCACTGAACAGGACCAGGGCGCCAGCCTCACCCCCTCTCCCGGCGGCCCGAGGACAGGCTTGGGGCACCTACCTGATGGTGCCAGTCGGGGAGGGCACGGGGCTGACCAGGCTCCGGAGATCCGGCTCCGGGATGTGGATCTTCAGAGGAGAGATCTGCGGGTACAGCGGCCGGAGCGGGGAGGCGGGAGCCTCCTCCTTGTGGTACAGCGACGTGAACTGGATCTTGATGGCCGTGCTGGGAAACCGGAAAGTACACCTGCGGCGGGAGGGAGGGCAGCGTGTTAGGAAAGCGGGACACGGAAGAGAACCCCAATCCAGTCAAGGTGTGTTGTCCTTCATCTAAGTAACTGTGGCCTAACTCCTGAACCTGTGCCCCAGAGAGTACGCTTTATGCTTTTGTTAGGACGCTATTAACAGGAATTCAGGCTCATTTGGACACCAGCTGTCCTTCCGCTGGACATGTGAACAGAGACACAAATACTCCCTGCCTGGCACCGACAGGCGCCATCTCCCGCAGAGGCTCCGGACAGAGACACTTCCTGTCGGGGACAGCAGGTGCAGTCACACCCAGGTGGGATTCGCCCCCTCCCAAAGAAGATGCTGGAAAACTGAGATAGCACAGTTGCCATTTATGAAGAGATTCTAAAGACAGATTGATTCCCTCATGCCAACTAGAAGATGTGGTGAAAGGAGGGAGTCTCAGAGAGCAGCACCCCGAACCTGGAGCTTAACAGACTGGCTCCACAATCAATCCTGGGCTTACAACCATGAGCCCCGGGTTTTCTGCCGAAGATGACCATGTACAAACCAACCCTGGGCTGGCAGCAGTCGGAGGCAGCCTCCGGTGTCAAAAAGTCAGCATGTGCTGGGATGAGCAGGTGAGGACTATCCTAGGTTCATCTGGCTCTGAGAAACTTCTACCTATTAAAAATCTGGGCATTATTTACCCAGCACACCTAATTTCCAAACCGACAAGTTACCAACCAACAAGTTGCTAACTGCAGGACTTTGTTAAAAAACAAGACAAATGAAAATAAAACCCAATTAAAGCAGCCTCCCGTACAACTGTCTAGAAAAGGCTCCCTGTGAAAAATGCAGGGGAGTAGGATGGAATGTGTATACACACCCATGCATAACGCACTTTTAACAGTTTTAGAAGGCGGTCAGCTCATGCTGGGATCAACGCTGCAGAAGCGTTAAGGTCTTTTGTAGCGTGACTCACACGGGCCTCGGGACAGCTGGCTGCCTGGTCTACTCCTGGCTGTTTTTAATTCCGAGGCGATGTTTAAATAGCAAATCTAACTCATCTTGCACGGACATGAGCAAATGCCCCTTCTATTTTAGGACCCCTTTGCTCTTAGTAAAATGGTTTTTTAAAAGCAGATTTTAAGAATAGGTTAAGATATGATCTGCGATCCTGAAAAGGAACCATGGGGTCCTTTGGAGCCTCCTGCCTGGGGACGCACCCTTCTCAGGGACCGGGTTCAAAGGAAGTGACTCAGCACTCCACGCGGTGCTCTTTCCCACGTCTGTCCTGAGGTCCTGCTACCTGCACCCAACGGAGAGAATCATTAACTGAAACTGCCTGGCTGGGTCCGAATGGGCTCCCGGAGACACCAGGCTGAGCGCGGCTGGACCTCCCCACGACGGCACCTCTGCCGCCGGCGGGGCAAGCACCGGCTGCTGTGCGCTCCTGGGTACTGGGTTTATATTTGCAGATATGACACCAGGACAGAGGGGTTCTGACCCCGATCCAGGGTGAGAGGCACCCAGAGGCACATGAGGGGCAGGGCGGGTGGCCCTGCCGGGCAGCCGGCATCACCGGCATCACCCCCATGGTGCTGCTGAAAGGGCAGCCCAAGGCTGTTTTAAAATATTCTGCAATTTTCTCCTCTTAAGTCATATACAAAGGAACGTGTGATGTCATATCCACTTTCTATAGTTTCCCACAGTCTGATGGAAGCTCGCTCCGTCGGTGTTTGGCTAGAAAGGCCCAGCACCCACTTTTCTAGGCTGCTCTGTGAGGACCCCGGCGGGCTCCGCAGTCCTGGGGGCCGGTCAGCGCCTGTGAGCCAGGGAGCCAGCGCCCACGCAGGCTCGGGTGTTCGAGGACAGGCCTCGTGCTCCCGACCACAGGGGTAAGGGAACCTGGGAACCTGGCTGAGCTGGGAACCTGGCTGAGGGCTCCGTCAGGTGAGCTCCACCGCGAACAACAGCGCCGCCGGGACAGAGTGTGCGTGGTGTGCGAGCGCGCGTGCGTGTGTGCACCCGTGTGCTCTGCCAAGGCTGGACGGGAAGGCAATACTGATGACCAGCATTTAAAGACGGTTCTAGGGCCCTTTACTGGTTTTCTCTTGCCCCGGTTCCCTTGATCGCTGCAAGCTGACCAAACGAGCTATATTTCGCCGTTTGCCAGAAGGGCGCACAGCGAGGAGTTTTCACCTGCTGCGCTGGGGAAGCCCCAGTGCTAATGCGAGAGCGAGATCGCAGCACACTAGAACCGTCAAGGCCAACTGGAACGAGGATGTGGCCTGAGCCCATGGCTGAGGCCATGGCGGGCGGGGACCTTAGAAAACTGTGTCCAGATGTGGGGATGAGAAAGAGGTGCAGGGGCCCCTCTAGACCAGGAGTCTGAAAGCCAGGTCCGGCCAAAGCACTCACCAACTCCAAGGGCAGAAGGCCCACCCCTGCCTTTGCTTCTTGGCTCTGCGGCCTGGGTCTCACGGCGCTGAGAGATGCGCAGGAATGGGGGCCGCTGAGTGTGGGAATGCACCGCACCAGTGACACCCCCAGAGAAGAAAGTCAGCTCTGAGCCACCCGGCCCAGCCTCTCCTCACTAGCACGCGGAATGGTCTGAATAGATCACCTCGAAGGTGCTTTCCAATTCAGAAAACTTAGGATTCCAGATTATATGTGCCTAGATTGAGTTTTAATAAAACAAAACAACGTTTTATAGGACAGGCAGGGAGGCTGGTACATCAGGCAAAACCTAATACCGTCTATAAACGATTAGCAGGACAATTTCCTACTATAAGAGTTTTCCAGTTAAGGTTTAACAATAAACATTTTCATATTATTTGCTGTCATAGCTATTTTAAAAGCCATCTCCTGACTCACTCTTCCAAAAATTATCCCGAGGCAGGTTATCTCCTAACTCCGAGGAGGAGGAGAAACACCAGGAAGGTTGCTACTTAATTCTAAATAGACGTCTCCCCGGGGTGCTCACGGAGCTCGCCAGTCACGGCTCTCCCTGTCTGTCGTGTTTCCACGCAGGGGCAGGGTCCGGCTGGAGTGTTAATGAGCATGTCTTGCAGGTGACGTATTTTCCTGAAGGGGCTGCGCATTCAGTCTTAGACGGGACCGCACACACTGCCTTTGCCGTCGGAACTCCCTGCCAAGGCTAAGAGTGATTGCAAGGTACAACCTCGGTCCACCGGCCTAGAGGGGGGTTCCTGTATGAGCCAGCGCCCAGCCTGGGAGGAAATCTCTCTGAAACACGCCTGCCCAACTTGCAGAGACAGAGAGGAGCTGCTGGGGTGAGCGGTGGGGGGTGGAGAGGGACTGACGGGCGCTAGGGAACAGGTTTCTTTGGGGGGTGATAAGAATGTTCTAAAATTGACTGTGGTGATGGTTGAATACACTAAAAATAAAAAATCACTGGATTGAAAAATTTAAGAGGGTTAGTTGTATGGTATGTGAATTTTATCTTAATTAAGCTGTTTTTAGAAACATTCTTGCCCTAAAGCTCCCAGACCAAGGGCCCACTCTGGTGTGGGCCAGGTCTATCCGGAAGCCAAAGGCTCCTGGAAGTTGGGCCAAACCAGTAACAACTCAGTTTGAGATGAGACTGCCTTATTTGGCATCAGGTCAAAGATCACTGCACAGAAAGCTGTGAATAGCCACTGCAAGACGAGGAATGAGCCCAAGTGGCTTGGGGCGTGTCACTTCATTTCGATCTCATCCTTAGAGGACAGGCATCCCACCACCTGCCCCACCAACCAGAAAGTTGTCAGGAAAATAAAAATAGCTCATTTAATTCTGATGACATAAACACCATTAACTTCATTTTAGACACAAAGAAATAATCAGAGAGAGAACAAAGTACATGTGAAAGCTTCCGAAGGACGAGTTTACTTCCTGGAGAGAGTGAACCACAGAGCCTGGAGTGGAGTATTGGACACATTCCGCACTAAAAACAGACTCCTGGCCTGAAGTTCTCCGAGAGAACCGTGAGACTCCCACTCCCCACAAATTTTCCAAGGCCGAGCCCCGAGCCCAGTGCAATGGCCACTTGCTTGGTAGCCAGGGGGCCAGAGCCCCTCGCTCTCCACAGGAACAGACCTCTGGGGAACGTGTCCAACGAGGAGGACAGGGATCTGGGAGCAGAAACAACGCAGACCAGCCGCATACCATGGGAAGAGAAAGGGTACCGCATCTGCTGGCAAAGGACAGGACCGCAAGAGGCACGTCTAGGGAAGAACAAATCTGGGACGATTAAAAAATGACACAGAAGCCCAGGCACGGTGGCTCACGCCTATAATCCTAGCACTCTGAGAGGCTGAGGTGGGCGGATCGTTTCAGCTCAGGAGTTCGAGACCAGCCTGAGCAAGAGCGAGACCCTGTCTCTACTAAAAATAGAAAGAAATTAATTGGCCAACTAAAAATATATAGAAAAAATTAGCCGGGCATGGTGGCGCATGCCTGTAGTCCCAGCTACTCGGGAGGCTGAGGCAGGAGGATTGCTTGAGCCCAGGAGTGTGAGGTTGCTGTGAGCTAGGCTGACGCCACGGCTCTCACTCTAGCCTGGGCAACAGAGTGAGACTCTGTCTCAAAAAAAAAAAGACGCAGAAAACTTCAAAGCGAAGGTTAGATGACAGACTCAAAACCTCTCCAAGAAAAGACAAAGACAATAAAGGGAAACTGTTGAGGCTCTGTCCAGGAGGTTTAATATTTGAATTTGAATAGTTACTCTATAAAGGCCACTCTTCCTCAGGAGCCATCGGGGAATAGATTTTGCTGTCTCCTAACCTAACACGTGCACAGCACTGTGTCTGCGAGAAGACAGTCTCTGTCTCCAAGGAACCAAGTCTCCTGGAGAAATGATGACTCAAGTACAGGCCAACGCTCCGGAGCAGCAGCTCCGTCCCCAGCACCCCCACGAGATGCCACACTGTCCCCTGCGTCCCAGGGGCCGGGGGCAAACAGGGCCTAGAAATGACAGGTGTCGAGATGTTTAACATAACTCAAAATTCCGTTGATTCAAATTACAAAGCAAATGTCACTATTAACGGTGGTGCTCTTCTTAAAAAATTTAACCAGCGACAACAACAGTACCCCGATTCACAAAGCCCACCTGAGGAGGCATCACCACACAGCCTGGCGAGGGACAGCGAGTGAGGGAATGACTGAGGGGCTCTGTAGCCTGCCTATCTCTGAGCAAAGGCCTACCTTGTTTGTGGGTTTTCAAAGCACAGTTTCTTTCACATCTTACTTTATACAACTGCTAAAAAACACTCTAAACCGCTGGCGATCTCCCCGTGGGGGATGGCTGAAGGAAGGACAGTGAGCCCTTGGTGGAGGAAGGTTATGCGACACCTTCCAGCACTGCAGGTCTTCGGGCAAATCTCCTAACTATTATCTTGTTTTCCTCATCAGTAAGACCGGGTGCATTTCAGAGTTCTTGTGAGTGCTAAAAAGCCCGAGCAAAGCAATCAGCAGCACACACAGCATCTAGCCATCAGGAGCACCCGCTAAACACCGCTCCCTGGACGAACGTGAGCGTTTGCGAGAACAGCCGACGACCAAGTGACGGTGCGGGGGCTACAGGCGTGGGTGTGAGTCAGACAGCCCTGGTGTGAGAACGGCTGAGTACTCAGCGGGGACAAGTCACTGGATCTGAGCCCCGCACTGGTCGATGGGGCCTCAGTGTGGCCGGAGGTCGAAATACCGGGAACGTCAGCCCTGACCACGATGGCTGGAACACGGCAAGTGGGCTCCTGAACACGTTTCCACCGTCCTTGTGACTGCCGAAGGAGAAATGCGCACCGCGCTGGACAAGGCGGCACTGCGGCAGACCTCTCTTCCTACAGAATGTTCTTTGTGTGCTGTTACCACATCCTTTAAGAAAGGAAAAGACTCAAGAATGGGGAAAAGCTGTTACATGCCTGTTAACAGGTCACTGTCAACTTTTACATGGAATGTGTCTTTTAGAAACCCAATGAAGCATCACGCCTGGCCCAGCTCTGCTACATGGTCCCACTCCCAGGGGAGGGAGAACGTCCCGCTGGCCCAGTGCCCGCCTGAGGGGGGAAAGTGGAAAGGCCCCTGGGGTTCGGACGGGAAGGCTGGGATCAGCGGGCACGGCTCACAGGGACAGCCGGCAGCTGCTCCAGGCCCCTCACCCCTCCAGCAGCGTGTTCACTGCACACGCCGTCAGGTGACTCTCCCAGGGCGGACCACATCACACAAGGTCTGAAATCGGAATGCCAGAGGCGCTGTGTTTTCTAAGAACCCCACAGGAAAATAAGACTGTTCAGGAAAAGGTATTGAAAGAAATTTTTACATGTAAAAGCCCTAAATCAAAGAATTCTGACAATCTTACATTTTTTCTAACCTAAAATATCTTCTTTCTATTAAAAAACTTAATACATTTTTCTGGAACACCCACCAAACAGAACAGAAGTGGCTGTAGCTATGGGCGCTTTTCTGCTGCAGAGACCCCAACTACGCCCGCGTGCTAAGCAGCAGCACAAAATGGCAAAGGAACGCAATTCCCAGATGAACCAACACGGCAGGAATGTCCCACATGTGGCTCTGGAAAAATAGATTACAAACTCAAACTAGGAAGGGCAAAGGAAGCCAGTGGCCAGGGCTCCGGGAAGGCGGAGTAACTACTGCTCCCAATCGGACAGCCAGATGTGCAAGGTCCCTGCCACAGTCCACCCGCTGCCCTGAACGATCAGGGCTGGTGCCCGTGCAAGGCAATGAAATAAGGTTTGAAACCACACCTTCATCCCTCCGCCAGGAATCAAGCTGCAACCTTGACCACTCCCAGATTTTCTCCCTTTCACATGGATGCCCCGCCTTGCTCTCCTGGGCCATGGCTGACTGGGTGAGCTGGGGGGGGGGTGCAGGCGTGACTCTGGACTAACCCTGCTGAGCACACTCAGCTCCGAGTCCTCAGTCCTCGTGCAACAACAATGTGGGGAGGTGCATGGGGGTGTGAATTAAATAGAGTACCGGTTCTCTTATGTATAAGTGACTTAGCTTTTTTCTTTAAGTTTTCCTATGGCCTAGTTGTTTTTGTTTTTGTTTTTAATAAAGAAAATGCATTTATTTTTATAATCAGGCAAATAAGCCACTTCTATCTGGAAAAAAGAAAACAGACACTGAGATACTTAAGCTGCTATGATGCAAGGTTAACATGCAGTGAAAAGGTCTGACCAAAGTCGGGGGTTTCTTTTTAAAACTGAAGTCTTGGTCTCTACCCCTCAGGGTGAGGAAGGTGACAAGAGACCCACGGAGCTAGGACGGTTGCCCACAGAGGCGGCTGAGCACAGCCACAGCGCCCTGCCTCCCCAGGGCTCAGGTGCACGTCCGGCTAGGTGGGGCTCCCAGGGCCCAGCAGTCCTGAGCACCCCACTGCAGCAGAGGGTAAGGAAGGCCCCCCGGGTCTCACGGCCCCTTCCCTTCTTAGGAGGAGCGTTCTTCCAGTAGGTGACTGTGTCCAAGTCCGGCTATAGGGGATTCAAGGTGGCTCCTACAGCATTACCCACAGGGGCCAAGAGACTCCCAGGGGACTGTGATTCAGCCAACCTGGGGCAGGCTCCAGGGATCTGCATTTTTAGCAGGCACTCTCCGAGAGAATCTTTCCCTCCAGACACCCTTGTTCTCACGCAAGTTTACAGAACTGCCAGAGATCCCCCTAAATCCTAGGGGCAGCTCCAACAGGGGCCAGGCCCAAATGGCTCTGTGTGCAGCCTCAGGAGAAAGCCCACCACCCACCACACCTAAAGACAATTCTGAGGGTCCGAGAGGAGGCCGGAAAATGACCCCACCCTTTATCCTTGAGGCCAGTGTATCCCCAAAGGAAGGGAGCCCAGGGTGGCTGGATTTGAGCCCTGAGCGTCCTGGCAGAACTGCCGGCAATGCAGGGTCGGGGGTGGGGGTGGGGGGAGGACCCAGAATGTCTTTCCAGGGACATTCTCATCCCTATGTGAGGATTCATCAGATTTAAAACAAACCAAAGGGCTGGGCGCTGGCTCATGCCTGTAATCCTAGTACTCTGGGAGGCCGAGGTGGGTGGATTGCTCAAGGTCAGGAGTTCAAAACCAGCCTGAGTAAGAGCAAGACCCCGTCTCTATTAAAAATAGAAAGAAATTAATTGGCCAACTAAAAATACATAGAAAAAATTAGCCAGGCATGGCGGCACATGCCTGTAGTCCCAGCTACTCGGGAGGCTGAGGCAGCAGGATAGCTTGGGCCCAGGAGTTTGAGGTTGCTGTGAGCTAGGCTGACGCCACGGCACTCTAACTGGGGCAACAGAGTGAGACTCTGCCTAAATAAATAAATAAAAATAAAACAAACCAAGGGGAAAAATCACTGTGTAAGTCGAGCTCCCAAGCTTTATGGTTTGGAAAATCAAATGGGGCAGAATATCCAATATATCTGAAAAAGCAAATTCCTTCAAGATTAGCCTAAAAAGCCCGAAGTATCATCCAGGTGGGTGAATGGGGAAGCCTGAGGGCCAGCTTCCTAAATTTTAATTCCAACAGAACTCGGCCCTTCAGAGGGACGTCCTGTGCTGCACGGCTGGAACCAGGCAGGTGCCAGACTGGGCTGGCGCGGGGAGAACAGAGCACATCTGGTGGCAGAGCTTGCTCGATGAGCAGTGCAAGTCCATTTTATCTTCTGCCTCTATACTAATTTTAAAAAAATACTTTTTTAAAAGTCCAAGTGGCTTAATCCACAGATCTTCTTAAAATGCTGTCCACAGTAACTCAATTTAATCATTATTCACTGGGCACCCAATTGATACTACGTTCAAGACATTGGTTTGTCCAAATAGACTTATATCAAGATTCTGTTCCCGAAGGCCCCTTCTCTACCAAGGCAGCCCTCCTTGAACTCCCTGGCTCACTCCCCACACCTAACTTAGAAGCAGGTTTTCTTTCTTTTCTATTTTGGGGGTGGGGGATGGGATCTTGTTATGTTGTCCAGGTTGGACTCCAACTCCTGAGCTCAAGCCATTCTCCTACCTCAACGTCATCAGTAACTGGGACTACAGGTGCACCACCACCCCTGGGCAGGTGCAGGTTTTCTCTTCCTTACTCGACTGCAAACTCCTCAAGGGGGAGCCACACCTGCCGCTGCTCTGCTCACCCCACAACACGTGGTTCACACAGTGCAGTGACTGGTACGTGCACACACCGCATGGAGGTAACTGCATCTTAACAAGCTTATCACACATGCAGAATGAGACCAGCACTGAAAAGCGGTAACGTGGAGGGTGATGTGCTAATTCAAATGTACTCTTCGGATCTTCCAAAACCACAGAGAAATTGATTTTATTAGACTTTTCTGATCCTGGATTGACCCTGAAAGGACAGTGGCAATATTGCCTGCACTGTGTGTAGTAGGCTCGATTAGCGAGAGAACCAGAGACCACTCGGCAGGTGGGGAAGGGCCACGTCACTTTTCCATTCACACTGTAGGGGCCGGGGCGGCTACCAACGGAACTGACCAAATCATGTCACAGCTTTTAAAAAGAGAGGCTCACGTGCAAACAGAAGCTTCTGAGCCAGCCCAACTGCCATCCCGAAGATGACCTGGGCTGGCTTCAGTGTCCTGAGGGCCAGGCTGCCACGGGATCAAAGTGTCACTAGACGTGGGTAGGGGAGGGCGCGGGAGTTGTCTGTGCAGCTGCCAGTCTCCGTCCATTCCAATACAAACGTGACCTGAAAACAAATGCCGTGATTATCTCCAGTTTATAGCCAACCTTTCCTGCCCTCCTGAAGGGCGGGTGTCTAAGCGTGAACGTGAAGACCTCACAGAGGCCCAGGAAAGGGGCTGGTGTGGCCGCAGGGCGGGTCAGTTGCCAAACGAGTAACAATCTACGCAGCTAGTGCACTGCTCAGCCCCGGCTCACACCCCCCAGTGACTCCCGATGAGACGACTGCGAATGGCCTTGAAGTCAGCCTCGGGGACCGGGCAGTGGGTCCTTCTCGCACCTCGCACCGATGCACCAAAGCAGAACACCACACCTGGAGTAGCTTGCAAAACCAAGAGTCTTTCGCCTAAACCTTAATTAACATGGAATTGGTACTAGTAATAAATAATATAATAATAGCTAAAAACTGGTATCTGCTATTGTTAAATATGCCAGGCACTGTGCACTGAGCACGTTAAGTATATTAACTAACCAAACGCCCACTTCTCTGGACACTCGGCTGTATGTAAACACACGCATGAGGCCATCGCAGGAAGCCTCCTCTGCTGTGTGGGCAAACGAGCAACCCTGAGGACCAGGCAGCTGTTGAAAAGCAGAAGGAGAAAGAAACAAAAGAAAGCAGAGCTGGCAATGTTTACTTTCTGGATTGGCAACTCCCAAAGGCCCAAGCCTTCCAACTGGGCCGAGGAAATGCCTGCAGGAGCGAGAGCAGGCGGGGGCGGGCGGGCCGGGAAGGGCTGGGGAGGGGCGGCCTCCGTCCTCCTGCGACGCCTACGGCTCAAACGGACTCTGCAGCAAGGGCCCCGTCCCTCTTAAATAAAAGCATGAGCCTGCCCAAAACAGCAATGTTCTAGGTGAAACACTGAAAATCCCCTGTCCTCACCTCACACAGGCATTAATTACTATCCAAATTAGAAGTTATTTAAGACTTTCCCTTTTAATACCATCCTCAAAGCCAGAAGCAAGGCTCGAAAGAGAGAACCCCAAAATACAAACCTCAGCTGCACCTTAATAAGGGACAAAAGGTCTTTGCTGTTTAAAAAAAAGTTCCATTTGTCAAAACAAAACAGGCACAGTGTCTAAAAGCTTGACAAATCACTTCCTTGCTTTAGTCACCATGGCAGGAGCTCAGCTTACGTCTCTAACGTGGAGAATCCGGCCAGGCCTGAGCCCAGACCTGGACGGGACACCGAGGGCCCGTGCCGCTGGGGCACCCCCGCCTGCACGTGCGCCAGGGCCCCAGCTCCTCTGCCCGAGTGCCACGCCTGGCTCAGGCCCACTTCCCTAAAGAACTGAAACCCCGCAGTGCGCCAGGGCCCGGGAGCTACGGCAGTTGGCAGAGATTGAGAAATTGTCACAGTCGGCACTGCCGCCCACTGGGGCCGGTCGCCAGCCTGGGCGTGTCCACCGCCAAGTGAGCTCTGGGCAGCTCCTGCTCTCCAGATACTGTTACACACCCCAAGAGCACAGGCGAGTCCCCGCCAGCGAGTCGCCATGGATAAAACGTGAGCCTCGGCCCAGCCACGCCGCTGAGCCCTGGGCCTGGCTGCTGCGGGCAGGAGAGCCCAGGGTGGGCCCTCCTGCTTGGGCCACCTACAGCGGGGGAGGCTGCCTTTTCCCAGCTGCTGGGGTTTCACTTCGGGCTACAGCAGTAAAAAAAACAACCTGATTACATCACCCACCACTGTCTTAACGAAGGCAGGGCCCCGGCAGTCTAAGGAGATTCCGCTCCATGTTCTTTTCGCTTCCTGCTACAGCAAAAGGAAAACCATGGGGTCAGCATTCCATGGGGCGTTCTGGGCCCTGGGGCAAAAGCCTGAGGACTGTCATTCCCCAGAAGCGCTCTCGCCTTCCCACGACCCAGCTCTCAGCACAGCGAAACCCACGCAGAGGCAGGGAGTGCCCTCGGGAAATGCAGTGAACGGCCTGCAGGCCCGGTTTCCGTGGGTGCTGGGGGTGTCGGGATGGGCAGAGGGTGTGGCGCCCTCCCCAAACCCAGCTCCCCTCTCGCTGCCCCCACTGTTTTTCTGGGTGGCCACGTGCCCAACTGAAAGACTACATTTCCTGCTTCCCTTGCAGTTGGGTGTGACCAGTGGGAAGAGAGGGGAAGCTTGGAGGAAGTCCCTGAGCGGCCGACAGACAGCTGGCAAGTGAGGATGGCCGCCCACCATCCTCCCTCCCAATTCTGGTCTACAGTGGAGCTGTGATGACCGGTGCACCAGCAACCTTCCTGGACAACGAGGCTGCCTTGCAATCAGAGCCTCACAGAACAATGGGAACTGGGTAAGAGCCTGGGCTGAATGTGGTCTAGAACAGAGGCACATACAAGGCACAAAACCTCTGTTGCTTTATATGCTTTAGACACAACAAAATTGCCCAGATTTCAAAGGAAAATAAGCCAGAGCTCCCTAACTAAAGAAAAAAGCAAACTCTGGATGGTATAGGGAATCGAGTTAGAAGAGGGTAGTGTTTCAGGCGCTGTCGGTACCCAGCCACACAGTGCACCAAGAGCTGCTTCTGCAACATCATGAGCATTTTCACTCACACAGATTAAGAACCCCAAATACCAAAACCCTGGACAAAGAAGCAGAAAATGCAAGGTTATTTTAAGTTTTTAAAAACTGATGGTAATTATTTTGAACATCTGCCTGAAAGAGAGCAGGAGAAAGGCAATGTGCTCTGGATTCCTGCAAGTCCTTGTGCTCTGTCCTGCGAGGGAGGTGACCCTGCCATGGCAACAGGGGGAACCAAGTTTGCAGGAGCAGGGCGTCCACCGGACAGGCAGACCTGACCAGCGCGGCGAGGCACAAGGGCTCCCTTTGCTATTTTTAGTATGCTTCTAACTCAGCAAGATTATGCAAAGATGGTCCTTGAATGAAGAATGCAAATGTAGTTAGCCAGGAACATCCAAAAAAAAAAAAACCCCAAAACAAAAACAGCTTTGAGAAGACAAAGTAAGCCCATGTTTTTAGGCAGTATTTACCAACAAGCTCTTTCACTACGTTTGTCACTCTGGGGCCAAGCTACAGTCATCCCTTAGGAATCAGGCCCACTTGCCCGTGCAAACTGCCTCTGGAGCCACCCACCCCAGCGGTGACTGCGGACGCACACCTGCCCTGACCGCATCATCCCGCCGACTGCCACCGCCCTGGAGGGGGGACACCATTATCTCCGCTTGGCAGGCTCAGGGGCACAAAGGTTTGTTCAGGACCATGGAGCTGATACGTGGCAGATCTGGGATCCGAACCCGGTGCTGCCTCTTGCCCGGCTCTCGAGGTATGAGGGTACCTGCATCCTTGGGGGGGGTCTTCGCAGGCAGCCTGCCACGCGTCTGACCACACCATCTCTGCTCAGGAGGCGTCTGAACTAGACGACTCTCTCTGGGAGCTGACCCCCAGCCAGAGGGGCAGAGCAGGAGCAGCGGTGTGGCGGAGCGCAGGGGGAGGGCTGCGGCTGTGGCGGCACAGGGAGGGACCCCAGAGCCAGGGCCCAGAGCGGGCGAAGGAGCGCCTGAGATGGGTCTCAAACCACCTCCTTGCTAGACCGTGGGAAAAGTGTGTTTCTGAGAAAACACTGGAAACTGCATGTAAACATACACGGGAGTGCCCGTGACGTATGGGGGTGTGCTGTGCGGCCAGGGTGTTCTTGAGCCCGTCCTGGCACGCCGCGATCACCTGGCACCATCGGCATCGCCATCCGGCTGCTGGACATCCTCTGGCCAAGATCTCAGGGAAAACCTATTCACAGAAGAATATCTGCTCGCTTAGGAAATACAGCCAAAGTACACAAGAGGCTACGATGGGAATCCAGGCAAAGCCCTGGGGGAATTCTGTAACGACAGACTGTAAACGCCAAGGCAGGCGGTGTCTCTGACGCAGGGACACTGAGGACGGACGGAGAAAGCAAAGCTGCTCCCACCGCGCTGGTGTTCGTGTCGGGCCGGTGGGAGCTAAACCCAGCACTTACTAATCCTGCTCCCTCACACACGGAATCAGCGCAGGACACGCCCAAACCCTGAGGCCTAACCAAAGTCCCCTCTCCCAGCACGTCCTACCTGCGGCCGCAGGGTCCGCTGGTGACGCCTCCCTCGCCTCCCCCGGGAGCAGGCCACGCAGCGCACGCCCGCCACAGGACACAGGGACACGTCCACACTGAGGTCTAATTTTAAAAAACAAAACTCACATACGGAAATGAAAACAGTACGGACTTCTCTTATTTTACTTAGTTTTTATTTGTGCCACAATTTTCTTGTGTTCCTTCACTAAGTATCTCAGGAACTATCCAATCGCTATTTCCCGCATGGCCTGAGCTGGGGCCACCACGCCTTTAAACTCAATGCCTTTAAGGGCAGCTCAGCTGCGGCCACCACCCAAAGGGCCAGGAGACAGACGGTCCTCAAGGCACCTGCCCAGGTGTGTCGCCCACGCCAGCCAGGGGGAGAGTCGCCTGCAGGGACGGCCCCAGCCCAAGGCAGTGCAGAGCAGGGTTCTTTTTCTTTCTCTTTTTAAGGGCTAATTCAGGGAAAACTGAACTGCTTAGAGGCTTTTTTTTTTTTTTTTAGGTAAAAAATTAAAACCGTACTACATCCCACGGAAGGCCACACGTGCATCAGCTGCTGGGCCGCAGCGTGGTCACCACTGCCCGGCGCTCCTGATGGCGGGGCCCAGCGCTCGGAGCGCACAGCGTGAGTGTGCTGTCTATTTATTTATAAACCATGCATGGGATGTGCTCAACTAACGTGTGCACTATAAAACATGAGAAATATACCTCAGAGGAGACTGAAAACAAACGAGCAGAGGTTCTGGCGTCTCACCGTCTCCTGCTGTACCCGAGCCCTGAAGGGCCCTCGAGGGTGACTGAACAGCTCCCGGGGCGCTGGGCGGCCACCCCACGCTTTCCCTGACCCTGCGAAACCCTGGGCTGAACTAGGTCGTTCCTCAGCTTAGATACTGTCCACCACTCTGAGAAGAAAATGCGAACTCCAGCGTGCCAGGGGCCCTCCTATCTCCTCCATCCCTGTGTCCTCCCTGCCCCGTCTGGCCCTGTCCACGGCAGGCCCCTCCCCAGGTCCTCCGTCCTGTGCACACATCGCATGTGCCCCCCACCTGCCCTGTCCTGGACCTGACCTCCCCTAGGACATGGCCCAGGGTCGGCACACGGGGACTCCCCACACTTGGGGAAACGAAATGGAAAGAAAACTGCCCCTTACTCTGCCATCCACCAGCCCCCCTTCACGGAGGGCCGGAATCATTCTTACTCTCAAAGTTTAAGATTATTTTCGTGATTTAGGTTAATGACAGCTGACAGCTCAGGATTAGGAGTCAAGTCCCTTTCTGGGGCCACTGTGCAGCCACAGGAAACAGGCC